CCAGATATTAAGTCCCCGCCCTCCTCGTCTGCATCCTTACCTAGACCATTGTCTTCAGCAACAATAAAGATTACTATGCAGTTACACATTTTCAGCTCAATTATCAGAATATTGATTAAGCAAACATTTGAAACTAAATTACACATGATCATTTTTTGAAGACGATAAGAAATCGACTTAGAAAAAAATGACTTTGACATGCCTGATCTTCCCAAATGTAGGAAATACACAATGGTTATTTTTTAACAATGTTACAAAAATATGACATCCCAAAATTCAATACAAACATATCAGCCACGGCGCCTACTAAGACGCCAAGAATTAGGCTCATTGTATCTGTCATACAGCGGTTCAATCCGTTATTGACGCTGGCGCTTACTCATCTTTGAAGGATCTGAAAATTTGAAGGACATGGGCGCCAGTTCCACAAGCCATTTGGGGTCGATGACTGTCACCTCGCGCATGTACTCCTTCGTGGTCATAACCAGCTCATGGTAGATGACCCAATCCGGCTGTCTCTGGAAAAGGGCACTGCTTGGATGGATATAAACTGGCTGGTTCTCTGTCAGGTTTCTGTAACCCTCCTGCGGGTCCTTTCTAGCAGCATGGAAGAAAAACCCTGCTGTAATCGCCTTCCTGATCTTCGTAAAATTCCTTCCTGCACTCAGAACATCGAGTTTGTACTTATCCATAATGCTCAGAAGCTGTTTTCTGACGTCTAGTGCCCGCCTCAAGGAGCGAGACTGAACAAACTTCTCGAAACACCATGGCCCCGAAAAATTGCTTTCTTTCCAAGCCTCATAGACTGCGAGTAAAGTCAGAGGATCTCCCTCTGCCTGAAAAAAATTGGCTCGCTTCTGATCAGCCTTGGCTTGCTTTTCTCTTGGTCTGTAAAAGATATTGCCTGTCTGAATCATTGCAATGATGGTCAAGATCTCATCGCTGCATCCGAGGTCCACGCTAGCGAGTAGCATCTTTGATAAGGGTGGATCCAGAGGAAACTCGGCCATTTTTCTACCCAATTTAGTCAGCAGCCCCTCCTCATCAAGTGCCCCCAATTTGTACAGCTGTTCCATGGCAGAAACAAGAGCTTGGCGAGGAGGAGGATCCATAAAATCAAAAGTCAAGAGATCATTCATCCCCATAGCTTTCATCGTAAGTGCAGTAAACCCAAGATTTATCCTCTGAATTTCTGGTGTTGTAGTAGGGAGCATCTCGTTGAGGTATGCGCTTTCCGTGTAGAGGCGGAAACATTTCCCAGGGCCTGTACGACCAGCTCTCCCTTTTCGCTGGTTGGCGGATGCTTGTGAAATCGGGGTTATGACCAATGAGTCTAGCCCCAGCTTCGGGTTAAAAACATTTTGCTTTGCAAAACCAGGATCGATCACATAATATATCCCATCAATGGTCAGTGATGTCTCAGCGATATTAGTAGCCACAACTACTTTCTTCTTCCCTTGGGGAGCAGGATCAAATATCCTCGACTGGATTTCACTAGGAAGCGCACTATACACCGGTAAAATAATCAACTCGGGGACGTTTCTACCAAGACCTTTAGTCCTCTCATGGAGACTGGCATGCAAAATCAATCTCTTCTTGTCCAGTCAAGAAGAGAAGGATGTCGCCTTCAGGTTCGGATAAGTGGATTTGTAGGACGGTGATTAGAGCTGCGTCAAGGTAATCACTGGTTGATTCGTGTAAAATACCTTCACAGGATAAGTTCTTCCAGGGATAGGGAATGTCCAACTCTTGAAAAAATATTCTGAAAACTTTTCCGCATCCAAAGTAGCGGAGGTGACAATCAAGCGAAAATCTGGCCTTCGCTTCAATAGCGGCTTGAGTAATCCAAAAAGAACGTCTGTGTGGACTGTTCTCTCGTGAGCTTCGTCAAGCATGACCACAGAGTATTGAGAAAGGTCCTTATCAATCAAAATCTCCCTCAGCAGCATTCCATCCGTCATGTACTTGATGACGGTTTCTGGTCCAGTGCAATCCTCGAAACGAATGGAATAGCCAACTTCCTCCCCCAACCGACAACCAAACTCCTCAGCAACCCTCTTGGCCACAGACATCGCAGCCACCCTACGTGGCTGTGTACATCCAATCCTACCCTTTGTCGTGTAACCCGCTTCTGCAAGATACTATGTTACCTGTGTTGTCTTACCACAACCGGTCTCACCAATGACGATGAGCACTTGATTTTCAATCACCGCCTGGATCAGTTTTTCCTTCAGCTTGTAGATAGGCAAGCTCTGCCTCTGTTCCTGAATGGAGAGATTTGATCTCTGCCCGAAACTAATGGTTTTCCCATAGGCCTCTTTCTTCCACTTGGGCATTTCATAGGTTGTTGACAAACCAACACCTCTAAGCTCCTGCGCAAGATGTCTCTCGCCATTCTCTGGCATCGGATCTTCCCAGGGACGATTCAGATCCTTCGGGATAGAATCCATCAATGCTCTCTGCTGTTGATCGTGCACTTCCCTACGCTCCTTAATGAGTGCAGATTGAAGTGCAGCTGCACGCCTCAATGACCCTTCTGGATTCTCAACGATTCTCACGGGCAACATCTCACCAAAATACCCGCCCTCCCCAAGCAAAAACTGTGGCAGGTCCTCACTGTTATCAATCTCCGTCTGTTCCTCAGCTCCCTCTTCTTGATAAAGCATGCCATCTGTTTCCTCATCATACATTGGATGCTCTGTCGCACTCAGAACACCCGCGGCAATCAACTGTTTCGCTTCCCACCTCTCCGGCAAGCTCATTCTCTTCAATGCCCTCCGGCGTGATGGGACAGCATCATCCTCATCCATAATCCTAATCCCAGAGAGGCCAGTCCTACTTCCATGCCCGTCCCTTGGCCCCTGTGGATTTGTGCTAGGAGTGTCATCCTCCTCCGATCTTTTCCTCTTCAAGGGAACTAAATCCTTTCCGGTATGCTGATCAACATCCCTTATCGACAGGCTCAGCTTCTGACCCGAAATTGAAATCACCTTAACATAAACCTCCTCATCCCTCCTCACCACATTCTTAGCATTACTAATTCTCCGATTTGCAATCTGTGAAACATGAACCAAACCCTCCTTCCCTCTAAAACCACTCAACCGAACGAAGCAGCCGCTGCCCATCACCCTCGAAACCCTTCCCTTATAAACCCTATACAATTCTGGCTCATCAGAAAAGCGCTGCTCATTCTGCTGATCCCTATCCCCTCTCTTATTATCATTAAGATCTAGAGCCATAACCTTGGTGGCATTCTTACAATCAGAACCGCTCTGTTTCTTCGACACCTTTTCGGCCTTTGGTTTCGGAGGAAGAATTGTATGAATAGCAGTGAGGAGTGCACGGCCGGTGTAATCGGGCAGATTAACACCGTTTTCCTTCAATTTGGCATCGAACTCATCTGCCGTCTGGTACTTTAGCCCCATGTCAATTACAAACTCCGCCACAACTTTGTCCCCCAACGACAGATGTGTCTCGAGTTCCGAAAATACCTTGGAAACCAAGGAAAGGTATTCCAGATTCTTCCAACAATCAGCAACAGCAGCAGCAGCAGCAGCCATGTTTGGTTTTGGAAAACCTAAGATTTTCTCGGATGTTTAAGATGCAAGTTTGATGATCGAAGTTTGATTGATAGTCTCTGTTTTAATCCTTTTCCTTTTGGAAATGGGATTCCTCGCGCGGGAGAATGTAGCTAGACCCACCAAGATATTAGTCGCTGTTCTTTTCCATTTCGGTTTGGGATTCTTTTTTTGTTTTAGTACTTCCATCGAACATGTTACGTGCATGCCAACAGAAACACCCCATCCCACTGTCTCTTTCTCCCTCACCTCCCCACGCCACCCCCTCCGACATCCCCTACTCCATCCATACCGTCACACACTTCACCGGAAAAAACGATAGAGCAGGTTGAGCTTAATTAACTGGCCTGCTGGAGTTGATGAGACTCCATAGAATCGGAAGTGGGTTGAACCCAACAATTTTATCTTTAATCATTAAAAAATAGATAATGCGTTGACCAAATTTTAAACCAAATTTACAAAGTAACGTTAATTAACACTTAACTAATAAGTTTATATCAATAATCACATCTTTTGGTCTTACAAATTTAATTTAAATAATTTAGTCTACCTAATATTATCTTTAAAAAATATGTATATTGATGGTTTGGGTGTGTTTTGAAAGATTGTAAATTTTCCCTTTGACACGAATTCTAATTTTTTTTCTTTTTAATTTAAAAGATAAAGTCAGATTTAAAAAAATAATAATATAACTGTTACGGAAAAATATTAAATTTGACAAAAACTCAAACTCTATCCATTTAGATTTTGACATAAAACTCAAATTCTATAAATGTTTACATGAGTATTAAAACATATAGACTCCCACCCTCTTAGTGTGGATAATATCGTTTGTTCAAAAAAAAAAAAAAACTTATGACAAGGCCAAAAATTTAAATATGATACTAATAATATAATAATCAAGAGACGGAAAATTTGAGTCTCTCTCTGACAGCGAAACATCTCCAAACCCTAGAAATCACAAATCTCAAGTCTCTTGAGAATTCAAGTGTATTCAATTAAAATTTTTAAGGGATTTATAACATTTTAATTATGAAACGACTTTAAAAGTTAAAGAATTCAAGAGAATTAGAGATGTTTAGTACTGCACCATAAGCATTCACAAATCCCACCTCATCCTTTGAGAATTTGAGAGAACTCAACCAAAAGTTTACATGAAATCTCTAAAAATCAATGCTCCATCAAAATCCATAGATGTATAAGTTTATTAATACCCCTCAAAATTCCACTTGAATACACCTCATGGTGTCATGTATGCGGACGAAGTAAATTTCAAAAGATTGCTCTTTTAGACAAATGAAGAATAACAAAATATATTTATATTTCAGTTTTTTTTTTAATAATGGGAAGTTAGACATGGAATTTAACTTTTGAGGAAACACTTCAAAAAATAAAAAATAAAAACTGTTTGAACTTGCGCAGTAAAACAAGTAGAGCTGCTGCATAATAAGTATAATTCGGTGACAAACGAAGATGAGTGAAGATTAGAAGAAAAAAGCACAAAAATATTGGGGCCGGTAGTGTTAAAACACCCCCGACGATATATGGAGGAACGAACAAGAATTTGGGGCTGAAAAGTAATTGAGGAATTTGCAATAGGCTAATACATCTTTGAAAAGTAAGAGTGCTTCAGTCGTTTCTTTCGTAATTATACCAAGTTAACACACTCCCAGCTCCAGCTCCAGAAAAAATATTCAGATTAATTTGCCCTATTCCTGTATACATACAGAAACGTTTATGTCTTCATTTGGAGGGAACGCGATTAAAAACTTGAAAAAGGAAAAATAAAAATCACCAAATGGTTTTACTTGTTCATTAAGGTACTTAATTTCTAACCTTAAACCTCTTTCGGGGAGCCTGGTCCGCACTGAATTGAGAAACGCGTTGCTGATGCCGGGGAGCTTCACTTCTCTGATTTGTCGTCGTCATTTCTCGTAGCCTACTACTGTTTTGCTCCGGTTGATTTCTTGAGAATCGGAAGAATCCGTCCTTGTCCCATGTAACCTCATAATCAGCCCTCAATTTAGATCCTTCCTGCTCCATAGAAAGGCACATTAAACAGCTGATCAATAATTCCAAACAAAAAAATCACTAAAGCTTCTTTTAGACTCAGCTAACTCTATCGTAGCACCAAAATATCTCAATGCTTGAAATCTAGCATTTCGACAAGCTTGATCGACAATACTAGCTATTATAACAACAATATAACGAACAAAAACCAACTGCGTACCTTCTGCAATGAGCGGCCGCATAACACCTTGAAGGCATTATAGAAGTCCTGGTATGTCTCAAACTGAACCACAATCTTACAGTGGAGACCAGAAATTAAGTCATCGCCATCCTCATTTGCATCCTTACCTAGACCATCGTCCTCAGCAACATTAAGATTCCTAAAGATTGTAGTTAAAAACAGGCACCAACATGAATGATGTATGATTAGCTACAGCCGCTCCATTACACCATGGACTCTAATGACAACACACACGAGCTTAAGGCCATTCAAACACATTATAGTGCTTGGAAAATTGAAGATTTCTATGTAGTTTCACATGTTCAGCTCAGTTCTAACAACTATGTTTAGGCAAACATTTGGAACAAAATTACAATACACGAAAAGCTAAGCAGTTCAAAAAGTAGATTAGATTAGAACAAATACATCGCAATTTCTAGACGACAACGAGAAATAGAGTTTTAAAACAAAGACATTGACATGCCTTATCTTCCCAAATGTAGAAAATATGGTATGGGTAACCAGCACTGAAAACTTGGAGGAAGAAACCCGCGGCTCTGCGAACCAGCGTGACGGAACACCCCTCACTATTATCGTATCCGGCTCTTGCTTCCCCCTCGAAAACCCTGCAACCAAAAATCAATCAAACTTTATCAAACCAAATTCGCAGCCATCAATTCCAATAAAAAAATCCAACCCCAATCACTACAAACCCCGATTTCCGAAGGCGTAGAACTCCTCCCAAGCCTTCTTGGTGCCCTCGAAATCATCCGAATCTGGAACAACAACATTCAGCTTGTACTTAACCCCTTCGATGTTGAGCTCAATCCCGTCCATTTTCTCAACAATGTACTTTCTCCATTCCAGAAACTTCCTCTCCAACTCCTTCGCATCCTCTTCTTCTTCCACGTCACTTCGCTTCCCGCCCTTTTTCAGAAACCCTAGGTCGCGAATCACGAGAACGCCGAAAGCCACGGGGTCGTCGCGCTTCCGCTTCTTGAGGTCCCTGAGCCGCCGGATCTGGAGGTCGTCTTCGGGGACGGTGATGGGGACGGAAAGCGAGTTCTTGAGGAAGTCGATGAGCGTCCGCTTCATCTTCCACTCGTCGACGGGTTTCGTCACGACTCCGGTCGACGAGTAAACCGTGAGATTGAGCCTCACGCGCGGCACCAGCGAAAGCCCATTCTCTATCTCTAGGGTTTCGGTCGGAGGCAGCGAATCCAACGGCTTGGCGCTCATCGCTGTTTAAACTTAGGGTTTTGCTTCTGCAACAATCAGAGTCTTAGGGCGAGCAGAACAAGGAGCCACAACCAGTAAAACGCCACGTTTAGTCTCACCATGCGTAACACGACGTCTTGTAAGGCAGACCAAATGACGAGACTGTCCTCACTTTATGACGTGGCACGCGGCAAATGAACCATACAGGTGGGAAGTATAAGTAAATTTACCACCAAAAGAAAAATGTATCAGAATTTAGAAGTCAATCGGAGCAGAAGTCCCAGATTGAGGAGAGAGACGGCGAGAGAGACAGAGAGAGGGGAGAGAGATGGGGCTGCTGTGTTGTTTCGATGGAGGCAACAGTGCACAGAGAAAGGAAGAAGAAAGGGTAGCCTCCGCGGAAGCTCTTGCCAAAGCTGCCGAAGCCGCCCAGAGAAGGTATAATCAGTTTTCTATTCTTCTTTTTTTTAATTCGATCATTTTTCAATTTGTGAAATCGGAAATTTGAATTCGTTTTTGTGCATCGTCGATTGTATATCAGTTGCAACCAATTTTTATGTAAAGATGTGATTTTGGATTGATTTATAATTGTCGTGATAAAGTTCGGATTTTTTTTTTCTTTTAATTTGAAAAGGGATAGCGAATCAGATGTGGGTTAGGCAGTTCGCCGTTGATTGGCACCCGATTTTAAATTCCGCTCCTCTAAGATTAGAGTAGTTTGGAAATGGGATAGGGATAAAAATAGGATGGCACTGGCAGTGATGATCAGAATTCGGAATTCAGAGTTGACCTTGTTAGAGAGGAGAATGCATTACCATAGTTAATTCTTAGGAAAACTAATGAAAAATGCTTGAAAACTTTGAGGTTTAACGATAAAGGCAAAACTTTGAGGGTTAACGATAAAGGCAAAATAAAGGGCAAAGTGAATAGGACATGATTGATTTTTTAGTGTAAAAATTTGGTATTTCGTTAAAGTGAACAGTATCGAAAGCTTTTCGTTAAAGTTTTCTTAGTTCTTTGCAACTTACAATGCTATCGGATTGTCTGCTTGCAAAATTTCAATTTTCTGGTTGTGCAATTTGCTTTGTTTCGATAATAATAATAAAAATAAAAAATGTGCTGGCATTATGCTGTAATTATGAGGACTGGCAATCTTGCAAGCAAAACCCAAGTATAGAGTGTGAATGCTGATCATAACACCTGCCAACGGTCGTATTTGCATTTCGTTAGGCAGATATCGCACAGTATTTGCATTTCGTGGTTGCATTACTTCCGTGCCCACATGATGGTTTCGTTTCTTTCTTAGCTATTTACGTAAACTTATGTACTGCAACCAAAATTGCAGGCAAGAAGAATTTGAAAAGTCTGCAGCAGGGAGAGCTGCACGTGCACAGCAACAGCAACAAGCAGCTGCAAAGCAAGCTGCCAGCTCTAACAAAGGCGAACCAGTATTAAAGGTATGAGTCGTATGACTGACTGAATTTCCAAGTATTCAATAATACCATAGGACTGGCGGAATCTCTGTCGCTTATTTGCTAATTATGCATGATGCTGTGAAAGTACGGGCTATGAAGGCACTCTACGATGCAGCTTATTCATATGGTGTGCTGGGGTTTTGATTTGCCACCTTGTATAGTTCATATATTTGATTGTTTTTTGTTGATCTTGTGGATGCAGTGGTCAATGGGTTGAGGCCTTTTGTCTGTCTCTCCATCAACTCCCAACTGTAAGTCAATGAACGTTCCACCTAGTAAAACACATTAAGTTCTGCGTAAACTATAATCTTGTGATGGTTTCAACTTTTTGCATATAAGTTCATTTCAATTCCAATAGACGGATTATCTGTATGTGTTGTAGCGTATTGGTTGAGATGAAATCTCATATAGTTCCACAAGTTTTTGTTTTCGTTTTTCTCGCATTTAATCTTCACTGTCTGCAGTGTTTATACAGATACAATATGTTTCGTGGATTGCCAATTCCTCTTGTGCCGAGAACAATACTCCAGATCTCCGAAGAAAGTTGCTGTTATCGGTCGTCATTCATTTCGTCATTATTTTTGCATATGGAATGTCAAGAAAATAATAACAGTTGCAAAATTCGTGCTTTTGTGCGTATCTTAATAATTCAATCCGGGCCGTTCATTTTTTGGTGCTACAAATTTATATTTTGATATTTCAGTTTTTGTTCATGGTTTGCCCCCATCAAGTGGCTAATACAGATTGGATTTTAACTAATAGTGAATAGATATGTACATTCCAATCATAAGAATCTGATACCAAGCAATGGTCAGTGGAACAAGTAATCACCTCTAATCTTACGAATAATTAGGAATCCACTAACTATTACAGAAAGCTTCGAACTGGAGCTGAAAGCTGAAGCTCGTGCGCAGCTTGAAAAAAGTCTGCTGCTTCTTGTAACAATCCTTCCTTCTTTGAAATCAATCCGAGGTTCAACCACGCCTCGTGGTTTGTCGGTTCTAATCGCAGCGCGTTCATTAGAAAGCTTCTTGCTATAGGGAGTGACTGGCTACCGAGTTTCATCAACACTTCTGCAGTCGAAACGATGCTTGGAACATAATCTGGCTCTATCGACAATGAGACCGAGAAGGAAATCAGGGCTTCCTTGTATTGCGATTGAGCTTCAAATAACTTACCTGCCGACAAATTGGACAAAAACATGAACATATTTTGCATCTTAATGCTCTAGGAAAACATTTCACGAGGGGAAAAATCGTACCTGTCGTATGCCAACTATGGGGTGAATAGAATTCAATCAACTTGGCTTTGTTGGCGCATATTTCTGCATCAGTCCACAAACCAAGTTTTGTATAAACGGTTGCCAAGTCCCGCCAGGCTTCCTTTTCCAAATTTCTTTCCACAAATGCCTGCAGAGCAAAGAAGAGCAAGATGTTTACAGAGAAGCAAAAGCATACCGACTTTCAACTATGTATATTGCAAAGGGTTTAGAATTAAAGAATACAAACCTCAGAATCAAAGGGTTTCTCTTGCTCGGAGTTTTTCGCTTTTTGATCCCTTTGTGCTTGGACAACAGTTAGCAACATTCTGTAGGTTTCTATTGCTTGCTTAGGATGTTCCTGAGCAACTTGAAGCACAGCTTTCAGTCTGAGCAGTTCTAACTGATCCACTCTTCCGGCTTCGTCCAAAGCAAAATCAACTATTGTTTCAGCATCCTTGAACTGCTGCTCTGCGGAAACTATAAGCGCCAATAGCTTCCAACCTTGTCCTGAGCTGCCAGCCACCATATCTGAGTACTTCATTGCGTTACTGAAAGCTGCATCCAGATTTCTTTGCACTGCATTTTCGAGGCCCAGACTAAACACCACCTCGGGATCCTCCTTCCCGTTAAGAGCAGCAAGGTTTAGAGAGTTCAAGGATTCACTTTGAAAAGACACTCTTTCAGAATCCGACAGAGAAGCTCTTGCTGCACCGCCATAGCAAACACCAAGATATTTATGGCATTGACCCATGAAATGCTCGCATTGATGATTCACCAAGTCAATAGCTTTATGCGAAAATTCTATCCCTTCGCGAGCATGAATTGGATCTTGTGAGCACAATTTTGCTCCCAACAGAAAAGAAGGGAAGTGAGGCTTGTTCTTTGCTTCCAAACAGCCTGCAACCTTTTTCAAAAGGTTCAAGGCTACTTCATTTTTTCCACAGGCACTATAACAAAGAGCAAGAAAGTACCATCTCTCCGCTCGTCTATATAATCCCGGAAGAGCCTGCTCCACATGATCTGCTAATAATTCATACAATCCGGTAAGAGAAAGAGCATAAGTCAGATGATCCATGATTTCTGGATCCCACTTTATCTCTCGCAAAGCCACCTTTTTCATAAGAATTACCAACAACAGAATTGCTTCTTCTGTATTATTTTTAGGCATAGTTATGCCCCATATTTGTGAATGAGGGGGAAGGTTTGCTTCAACACCGCCGTAGAGTAATGTGCAAGCTAAGCTTTTCTGAATAGCAGCTAACCTCTCCGGATCCAAATTCCATGGCTTGATTAGAGCCCGGCGATATGCAGTAATAGCCTCATCAAGATAGCCTGCCTTTGTCCATAAATTGGGGAGCAGCTCGAGCGCTTTGTGAAACATGTCTGGCAATTTGCAGTCCTCGCCAATGTCTTGAAGCATTCCATTAGGTAAAGCTGATTCAACCGTATCAAGAATAACTTTGCACTCCTTTGCAGCATCTGATGAATAAGAAGAAAGCACAAAAACATGCAAACTAATCAATACTAATCAAAATCTCATCATAATAATCTGATTGCAATCTAATTTACTGGGAAGTTCTTGCTCGATGCAATATATACCAATCTCGATCCAATGCTGAATTATACTACAACACGAAAGCGTAAGCAAATACCTATATATCTTCCAAGTTCTCCCAATGATATTGCCTTGAGTAATATTGCTTCAATAAGTAGGCTCACAGAGTGCATTGACATTACACTGGGAAGAACCACAGTATCTCCTTTCGTGCGCGGCTTTCTTTGCCTAGTTCTCTCCACGATAGCCTTGGCCATCCGCGGGGTTAAATTTCTAATTTCAATACCTTGAAACACCTGAAGTGCAGCATCAAAATTCCCCCTTTGGAATTCAAGCCTCCCCAACAAAGCTCTAGCTTCCTAAAAGCCCATAAGAAAAGGATATTAAACATTAGTAAAAGTAGAGCAAGGAAACCAATTAATCATCAATCGACAATCTTAGGGCCCGTTTGATAACCATTTCGGTGTTTAGCTTTCGGGTTTTAGTTTTTAGTATTCTTAACATGAACTTCAATTAATGAAACACACACACTAACCTCATAATTCAAAGATAGAGCTTCTTTAAGAGTGGATTCAGCTTCATCCACTTGAATGTCTTCAAATTTGGACTCCCAGTCGCCGGTCCTAGACGAAAGGCAACTCGCCGAGAAGTCCCTCGTGGCAAGGGACTCCGGGGACTGCGGCGGCTCCTCGAATTTGAATTGCTCTCCTGAACAAGCACACAACATCTTCTCCACAAATCTTGGACCCCTGTGATTCGATTCACACACAATCTTGGGGCAAAAAAATTCACTTCTATGTGATTTGTTTCAATTGTGCACACACCTGGAAATAGTAAAACATCAAAACATGTCAACATGTCACCGTCATTGAAGAAACAAAAACAAGTGCAAGCAACAAAATTATGAGTCGTACGGATTTTGCTATGAAAAAATGGTCGGAAACAGAAAGCAACAACGTAGATCCCCACAGCAGCATAGGCAATACCGAACAAGAAACAACATTTGCAAACAAAACCCAGCAAATCCGAGTTTTTTAATATTAAAAATAAAAACCAATAAAAATACTGGAAATTAAAGGGCATAGATTTGGAGGCAAAGACCGAGTCTTTGAAAAGAACATTGAGGAAGTTGAAAAGGGCGAGACAAACGATGAGGGACAGGGTTTTTTGAAATTACCCCAGAAAGAAAATCACAACGTGATTTGTAGCAGTCGTGGAAGATGTGAAAGCTACCTCTCTCTCTCTCTCTCTCTCTCTCTCTCTCTCTCTCTCTCTTCACGCTCTCTCTAGTCTGATTTTTAAGGGTTTTTTTTCTTTCAGAAATTCGGAATCTTTTTGTATTTTTCAGGTTCAAAGGAACCCAATGAAAATGGTGTGACGATGGAGGGAAAAACAAATATTACGAGGTGGGATGAGTAGATGGTCAGATTTTTTTCATGGTTGGGTTGTCTTTTTCTATCTGCTGACTTTGTTTAGTCCAGAAAGGATAATAAAATTTTGCCTGCCTAGGCAAAAGTTGTTGCAGGCTTGTAGGCCTCACACATTAGCATTTGCAATCTAAAAATGTTCATGGTAAACTACATGATTAGCTAATCTAGTTATGTTCTTGCATCAGTGTGGTTATGCAAATGAGATTCGTTGATTAAAAATTAATTATCGTTATATCATTGATAATGTGTTGATATTAACGGACATCCTTTCTTAAAAAAATTGAGTTTTGATGTGTTATTCATATCATAAAAGCTAACATAATGTACTAACATGTTAACAATTTGCGTGCATTATGTAATCAGAGAGAGGTTTTGTTGCTTGGATTACTATTGAATCTAAATGGGAGGGAAATCTTGTTGAATGAATTAAATCCAAAATTCCACAGCATGTTGAATTCAAGGTATATAGCTGGGGGTAGCTGCCCCCTTGAAGGAGAAGAGCATGTGCTGTGAATGTAGGTTGCTGACTTGGCTGCCTGGTTGGCCTTTTTATTCAGGGAAATTTTTAGTTGTGACGGGAACACGGATTGTACACCACGTGTTTTTATGCAAGTAATGGAAAATTTTAATTTTTAGGTCATTAACATTTTAACACACATAACCCACAATTTCTATAGAAACACGTGGCATACTACCTAATGTGACGGTCACATTGAAAAATCTTTCATTTATTTGTTTAGTTCAACTAACATGAATCATTGTGAATCATGATACCATGCCCAAAGGCAACGAGGGGATGAGTACAAACTACTCACTCCAACGCCATTGCCATCATTTGTGTTTTAGCATTAGATAGATCTCTTTACCCTTTTTACTTACTTGATTTACTTTTAGGGTTGTTAAAATTTGCTTTGTAATGTGTAGTTTGGTTATTTTTTAAGGAAAATTAATAAAAAATGTTTGAAAATTTTGAGTTTTAACGATAAAGACAAAATAAAGGGTAAAATGAATAGTACCATGATTGACTTTTCAGTGTAAAAATATGATTTTTCGTTAAAGTGAACAGTATCATGAGTTTTTCGTTAAAGTTTTCTATTTTTTATCAGAATAATGTTATTCAGACTTTTTTAAAAACAAGTTTAAATATAAGTAATATCTGTTTATCCGCATGTACTATAATGAGCATAAAATACAATGTAAATTTTAATACAAATACTACAAGGGTCAGCAAATTTCACTTGAATTTTTTTTTAAAGAGTGTGATTTGAAGTCTAATAATCACGTGTATGAATTAAGGTATTATTTGTGCGTGGATTAATTATTATTATTATTATTTTAAATAAAAAATTTGACAACTAGTGATAAGTTACGGTTATTCACTTATTTGTTGTCTGAAAAAACTATTTATAATTTCATCATATTCATAATCACAGTCAGTTCGGAACATCTAACTCCGAACCTCACACATTTTTATTTATTTATTGAAAAGTCTTAATTCGCGTCCTTACCACTAGTTGCATGGATTAATTTATTGGATGCGAACCTCAATGGCATATATTAAGCAAAAGCAGGACATCATGGTACCAATATTTAGATAATAATTATCCTTTTGCCTTCTCCCAGAATCACACCAGCACGTTGCTCAAGAAGAACAAACATACACACCCAATGATCGCATTAAGTCCACTATTCCAATATATAAACACACCCTGCAACGAGATTGGCGCATCATATTCTTGCTTAATTATCGCATTAACAAATTACGAGCCAAAATAGAAGTGATTTTTCTCAGCGTGTAACAATTGTAATGCTCGTGTATCAATCACTTACGTATGTGTAATATTATACTTCAAATTATACTGGTGTTATTTGTATTATACTACTTATTACGCGTGAGTTTGTGACAGTACTCCAACATTTCTTGTAAAGTACAAACCAAATTCTTGAAGCTTGTGAAATTTGTGATAACGTTTTGAATAAAGAAAACAATTTTCTTTAGTAGTACCTAACACCAAGTAGTATAAAAAATGAATGAATACGATTGAAAGTAAAAGATCTAATAATTGTTAAAGTCAAATCTAACAACTAAAACACTCATAGCATTGAGTATTTAATAACATTAAAGTCGCAATATTAAAGTCACGGACTAAGATTATCTCCTCTCATTTTTCCATCTCATCTTCTCACATTTTCTATTTTGTCATTTTTTTTTATAAAAAATTAATATAAGATGTTGACGTGATTTAACCGTGACCGTTCAAATAGGAGAAAAGAAAAAGAAAAAAAAAAGGGAGATAATCCTATTCCTAAAGTCACACCCAAGCAAATTATAAAAAAAAAAGTGACATTGAGTACTGCAAATCACATATTTATTTTTTTCATTTTATCTTTGTTAAAAATAAGAAGAAAAAAAACCCACGTGATGTGTCTTCTTTTTTCTCTGAGATGTCACGTACCAGGGATTGTGGTAGTGTGATCGGAACCATAGCACGGGGAGGAAAGGTGAAGTTTTGATGTCGTTTTGTAACTTTTCTGTAAATGGTTTCTGACACTTTGATCTGAGAGCCTGAGAGTCTCCTCCCTTTCCAGTTCTCCCCCTCTGCAGCTTTCTTTCTGGGAGTCCCACCCCCACCTTCTCGTGTCTATCCCTCTAAATTTTGGATGAAATGCCTTCGGTTATTGTTTTGTTTACTAGCTAGATGCTCAACAGGCAAATTTAGAAGTTGGTTTCTTAACCATAAATAATAATTCGTAGTTGGTTTGCTAAAGTTAATTAAACCTTAATGGTTGACTAAAAAATTTAAAAACTCCAACTTACTACTTGGCATGCATCATCATCTTCATAAAACAAGATAAGTAGTTGGTTACACCTACATGTTTTAAAAGATTTTTTTAGTATACTGCAGGGAATATGATACACCGAAACATAATAAAAAAATTATTTTAAATATCAATGCATATATGAATTGTGGTGGTTGCTTGAAGCAGGTCGGTATGGGGGGTTATTTATGAAATGTCATCAGGCCAGCTGAAAATCTTGGGTTCTTTGAATTGGTTTGATAAGAATGTTAATGGATATGGGTCAACTCATGTTAGGCTAGTAGGACTCGGTCCAAACCAGTCATATTGGGCTGAATCAAAACCATAATATTCGTTTCTCCATGGCTCTGATTTTTCTGTTTTTTATCGGGCATGAAAACTTGGATCGATCAGGTTATTAGTAAGACGTAATTTATACAAACATAATATTTCTCTGTATTTTGGTTTTATTTGACTTAATGTTGGCTGCGCATCATGTGAAAGTGTTTAATAAATTTAAAAGTAATCTTAACCAGTTTGTAATCATGTTTACCTTAGCTCATCAACGCTTGAACCTTAAGAAAGTCACATGAACCTTACGGGCTCATGTGGTGACCGAGACCAGATAAGATTGGAAATGAGTCAAAGTGCAATCCTATGCAGACCCATTCTTATAGCTTGTAAGACAACATATATTTGATTATTTTCAAAATACGACTTGTTAAACTGACGGCTAGAAAAATCAAGCACGAACACAACCTATTCAACTAACAGAGTTAGCACAAAACGCAACTCATTAATTAGTTAACGGGTCCAACCGCTATCAACATGGCTCACTAATATTATCTATCCCACGATTTGAACGATGGTTTCAATTATTGTTACTAAATACAAGAAGCAAACTTACTAATTAGCTTTGTCTTCCAAAGATGAAGTCTCCAATCTCCACATGATCCAAAAGAGACAAAGCTAGGTCATTTAATCTTCTTCTTTGGCTTCATTTTGCTTTGTTTTTTGTTCTGTTTTAATTAAAGAACATTATTTCTATATAATTCTTAGAGAGAATTGCCCTAGTGAAAGCAGGATCCAAATCTCGTCGTATACCAAAAAAAGATTTAGTTATCTGAAAAAAGAGTCTCAAATGATCCAAATTAGCGAAGTGCTTTTTTATTTATTAATTGAGCGAAGTATATATAATTTTACTTGTGGTTTAGTGCTTGTTTGATAACCATTTTCTTTTTACACAAATTTACTTGGAAGACTTGATATTTGCAAGCACATTTCACTGTGATTCACCCTCTCAGACCATCTCCAACCCTTGGCCTAAAATCTAAAATTTTTAACCCAGAAAAGCTTTTATGCTCCAACCCGTCTGGCCTAAAATTGTAGCCCCATATTATTAAAGAATGAATTTAGGCTAATTTTTTTCTTAAAGTAACTTTTTAAAAATAAAAAATTATGTAGACTATCATAATTTAATTTTATGAACATTTTAACCTAAAAATATTTAGATTCTGATAAATACTGAAAAATCACTAACCGACACTATGTGTCACATCCCCGCCTGGGCCCTCACCACATTCCGTGCTCAACTCCGCCATAGCACGATATTGTCCGCCTTAGGCCCCGACCACGCTCTCACGGTTTTGTTTCTGGGAACTCACACGAGAACTTCCCAGTGGGTCACCCATCCTGAATTGCTCTCGTGCGAACTCACTTAACTTTGAAGTTCTAAAAGAATCCGAGGCCAGTGAGCTCCCAAAAGACCTCATGCTAGGTAAAAATGAAAATATACATATAAGGCTTACATGATTAACTCCCCTGGGCGATGTGGGATGTTACAATCCACCCCCCTTAGGGGCCTAACGTCCTCGTCGGCACACTTTCGCCTAGAGATTGGCTTTGATACCAAATTGTCACATCTCGCCCCAGGCCCCCACCACATCCCGGACTTGACTCAGCCGTAGCACGATATTGTTTGCTTTGGGTCCCGACTACACCCTCACGGTTTTGTTTATGGGAACTCACATGAGAACTTCCTAGTGGGTCACCCATCCTGGGATTGCTCTCGCACGAACTTGCTTAACTTCGGAGTTCCGATGGAACCCGAAGTCAGTGAGCTCCCAAAAGGCCTCGTGCTAGGTAGAGATGAGAATATACATATAAGGTTTACAAGATCCACTCCCCTGGGGGATGTGGGATGTTACACCATACATATAAGGTTTACAAGATCCACTCCCATGGGGGATGTGGGATGTTACACCATGAAACTTGTTAAATACTATGAAAAAATATGAAACAAATGAAAGATTTTTTTAATTACTTTAGCCGTTAGATTTAAATTTGAATGGTTAATTTTATTTTTATTTTTACCGTTGAATTTCATCAAATTACATATTAACCGTTGGATTCAATGTATTTATAAATATAAAACTAAACAAAATATACATATATGGTGGGCCAACCCCACTAATTATGGGCTAAATTTGGCTTCCATTTAAGTTTTAGGTTTTATGTCACATTTTAGGTAGAAATGAAAATATACATATAAGGCTTACATGATTAACTCCCCTGGACGATGTGGGATGTTACAATCCACCCCCCTTAGGGGCCTAACGTCCTCGTCGACACACTTTCGCTTAGAGATTGGCTCTGATACCAAATTGTCACATCTCATCCCCGGCCCCCACCACATCCGGACTTGACTCAGTCGTAGCACGATATTATTTGCTTTGGGTCCCGACTACACCCTCACGGTTTTGTTTATGGGAACTCACATGAGAACTTCCTAGTGGGTCACCCATCCTGGGATTGCTCTCGCACGAACTCGCTTAACTTCGGAGTTCCGATGAAACCCGAAGTCAGTGAGCTCCCAAAAGGCCTCGTGCTAGGTAGATATGAGAATATACATATAAGGTTTACAAGATCCACTCCCCTGGGAGATGTGGGATGTTACACCATGAAACTTGTTAAATACTATGAAAAAATATGAAACAAATGAAAGATTTTTTTAATTACTTTAGCCGTTAGATTTAAATTTGAATGGTTAATTTTTTTTTTTTTTACCGTTGAATTTCATCAAATTACATATTAACCGTTGGATTCAATGTATTTATAAATATAAAACTAAACAAAATATACATATATGGTGGGCCAAACCCACTAATTATGGGCTAAATTTGGCTTCCATTTAAGTTTTAGGTTTTATGTCACATTTTAGCATTGGGTTGGGTTGAGTGTTTTTTTTTTGGGGGGGGGGGGAAATAGAAATGGAAAATTTGAGTTTAGCCTATGGTTGGAGAAGGTCTCATAGAGAACAGAGAGGGAGTTCACCCTAACGTAAGGGCATTTTCGGCCAAATACCATCATTTGTTAGCACAAAACACGGGGTTTTAAGATTTTAGGACTTTTTTTTTGGTGTTTTAAGACTTTTGGATGTTTTCGGTATTTTGTTAATTCTTTAATTAAAGTGCTATGGTTCATCATTCAATAATAAATTTTGAAGTCTATCAATTCCGGATGATTCCACTTTGCTAGTGGATTTTAGGGTAAGGCTATTTTCGGTTTTTTATGTTCAATATATCGTGTTTCGTCATAATGGATTAGTCATAATTGAGAAAGTTGAACCTCCAACCTCCTAATTGTTAATTTTGGATAGAGTTACGATGTGGTTTTGCTTACGCTGCGATGTTCGATGTTCGATGTTCAGCGCGGGAAATATTAACTGCAGTATACAGTTAGCAGCAATAATTGTTTGTCCAAAAACAAAAAAAACAAAAAGTTAGCACCAATAATTAAGTGTGGTTCCCACTTTGTACCGTTCACTCAGACATTTACAGTTGTATAAGTCTTGGTCTTGGTCTTGGTCTTGGTGAGATAATAAGTGGATCAGACATTCTTGTACCATTCACTCGGATATCCAGCTCATTCGCAAACAGAGTAGAGAATGCGGTACGTCTTTCAGATTTATTTTTAATTTGCTCCATTTTCTTGTCCCGTTTTATCTGTTTCATTAATTATTATTTTTTTGTTTATTTAATTAACCTCATCCCACTCCAAACAAGTTATTTATTAACTAGGATTCTTTCTACCTTTGATCTCTTTGATTTGTTGTTTGTATCACAAACAAGATATTACCAACAGAAAATTTAATTCCTAGATGTTCCAAACGGCAGAAATATTCCCAGATGTTCAAACAGTGGTGAACTAGTACACCAAAAAGTTTATTTTCGAACGGATCAAAGAAACAAAGTTTTCAATTTCTATTCCAAATTTCAGAATTGGAGAGGATCACAATTTTTGAATTTAGAATTTTCGGAATGTTTAGGGTTGGAGTAATCTCGAAATTTTCATGACATAACTTGAAAGTTCATATATTTTACAAGGTTTTTTAATATTCTTGAAATTTTTTCATATATGCAATTTATTGTTATATCTTGATATTTGGTATATGCTTATTTATAAATTTATTTAATTTTGTGGAATATACTTGATTTTCCTGTTTAATACATAAATATATGGTTAATATAAAAAACAATGAACAAAATGTTTCCAAAACTAACAATAAAATACAAAAGTTGATAACAAAATACATAATTTTAGTAAATAACTTTTAAAAATTAGCATATTTCAAAAAAAAAAAAACGAAAAATTTCAAATCGGTAGTTAGAAAATTTCAGATTCTCTAAATGCATTCTAACTTTCAAAAATAATCAGATTCAGATTTTAGAATTTTAATTTCAAAGTCAGAAAAGACTATTCCAACTAGCACCCTAAGTACACCACCCACTAGGTTTCTCTCTTCTATTGAGTAACGTGCTAGAAGCAACAATGATAAAGAGTTAAAGCTAGAACCATCAAGGGGTGGCTTAGTGGTTGAGGATAATTTTCAAGCCCATATTTCGCACGGTACGTTTTAAGTTCGATTCTTGATATTGGTGAATCACTCGATGATGACTAGAGGAGTCTTTCCGACTCCCAGAAGAATGGACTATTGTGACAAAGCCATCAGTTGATCCCTTTTTCTTATTTTAAAGATAAAGATGTAAACATCGAAATTTCAGTAAAATAAATGTTCACCAACACATTAAAGTTTTGACATGCCAAGGCTTACGTGACATGCGACATGTGTTTTACAAATCGTACATGTGGATGCGACTCATCAAAATCAGATGAGCCATCAAGAAGTACACGTGTCAACACTTGACGGAAAGGAATTATTTGATTTTAATTTAATTAAGTCAAATATTAATTGATGGAGCCAAATCACGAACCGGCTCACAAATTGAGTCCTGGTTCTTTTTTTTCAATTAATCAAGCCCACAATCAAGGCCAAATCTGACACACCCCAACCAAAAATGTCCACTAAGATCCCACATCGCCCAGGGGTGAAGATCCTGTAAGCCATATGTATATTCTCATTTCTACGTAGCACGAGGCCTTTTGGGAGCTCATTGGCTTCGAGTTCCATCGGAACTCCGAAGTTAAGCTAGTTCGCGCGAGAGCAATCCCATGATGGGTGACCCACTGAGAAGTTCTCTTGTGAGTTCCCATAAACAAAACTGTGAGGGCATGGTCGAGGCCCAAAACGGACAATATCATGCTACAGCGGAGTCGAGCTTGGGTTGCGGTAGGGGCTTAGCCGAGATGTAACAATTTGGTATCAGAGCCAATCCTTGGCTGGAAGTGTGCCGACGAGAACATCGGGCCCCTAAGGGGGGTGGATTGTAAGATCCCACATCACCCATGGGTGAGGATCCTGTAAGCCTTATATGTATATTCTCATCTCTACCTAGCACGAAGTCTTTTGGGAGCTAACTGGCTTCGGGTTCCATCGGAATTCCGAAGTTAAGTGAGTTCGCGCAAGAGCAATCCCATGATGGGTGACCCACTGGGAAGTTCTTGTGTGAGTTCCCAGAAACAAAACTGTGATGGCGTGATCGGGGCCCAAAACGGACAATATAGTGCTACGGTGGAGTCGAGCCTGAGATGTGGTGGAGGCCAGGGTCGGGATGTGACAAAATCTATTCGTAGGCAAAGCTTTGAGGGTCAATAAATATAAGGCTCCAAGAAAAAGAAAGGTCCATAAAATCATTCACGCCCAGACGCTGAAGCTTTGAAACTCTGAAACTCTCAAGCACTCAAACCCCTCTCATACACTTAAACACTCAAGAAAACTCGGAAAACCCTACGCGTTCTTCATCAACCTCGTGAAGAACCACCAAGCACCCCTACACGTGCTGGTTCCTCAGTTGCCAAGACTACACACCTTACATTAATCAGAGGACCAAGTTGTAAAGAGATTGTAACCCTACATTCAAATTAATACAATACAATTATTTTGTACATGTGTCCTTATTTCATTTGTTACAGGATTTTCTTGTTTACAAAAGAGTTAAATCTAGTTTTAATGAAATCCTAGAAATGATAAAGTTTTCAAAATTTATCCATACTAAGGTTGAAATGTTCTTACTAATTAAGAGAGTTTTAATTATTCATTTAAGAAAATAAGGATAGTATTGTAATTTTACCCATACTAAGGTTGAAATGTCCTTACTAATTAAGAGAGTTTTAATTATTCATTTAAGAAAATAAGGATAGTATTGTAATTTTACCACATCTAAAATTTCCTACTTATAAGCATTTTCTCACACGTATTCTCTCCTACACTAACACTCTATGCGTGTGTTGATAATGATGTACAGAACCTAAATTTAGGTTTTTATTTATATTTTTCGGTCAAGATGGTATTTTACATCTCTCGATCGGAGAGTTTTTTGGCCAATCAAAACTGCATCATGCACGTAAAGCATGTACGTATAGTTTCAACTTTCAATATGTCTAAGAAGCTAGTAGATTTGGATATATCTAAGAAGCTAGTGCTGGCTAGCTAACACCAAACAATATTGTATCATGTTTACCAATTTCTTGATTTGTATATGTTCGACAGGCATGGAGATTGTTACTGGAATTGTTGGAAAAGTTGCCGAGTATGCAATTGAACCAGCTATACACCGAGTGGGCTACCTTACTCATTGCAGAAGCAGCCTTCAGAATCTACAAACTCAAGTGAATGAATTAACTTCTGCTAGAGAGGGGGTGGAGCATAAGGTTGATGAAGCTGAAAGACAAGGTAAACGAATCGAAAGCGAGGTACAGAACTGGCTGAAACAAGTGGAAGAGATCACCGGAAAGGCAGGCGAATTGTGGAAAGATGAAGTCCAAGCAAAGATGAACTGTCTCCATGGGTTTTGTCCTAATCTTATTCTTCGTTACCAGCTAAGCAGAAAGTCAAAAAAATTGGAACAGGTTGCTGTTAAACTCTATGAAAAAAGAGACTTCACCAATTTTTCATATGATGCTCGTCCACAAGAGGTATGTGCCGTGTCTACCAAATACTACGAAGCCTTTGATTCAAGGATTTCAACTCTAAAGAACATAATGGATGAATTGAGAGCTCCCAGTACCGATCTGATTGTGGTGTATGGAATTGGCGGTGTGGGAAAAACCACACTTGTGGAAGAAGTCCTTAGGCAAGCTGTAGCAGAAAAGTTATTCACTGATGCAGTTATGGTTCGTGATGTGAAAAATCCAGACCTACAAGGAATTCAAAAAGAAATTACCAAGAAATTAGGCATGGAAGTTGGTGAAAACGAGATTATGGCTGAAAGAGCACGTCATTTATGCAGCAGGATAAAAGACAAGAAGGTTCTTGTAATTTTAGATAATATTTGGGAAAAAATCGATTTGGAGACTGTGGGACTGCCATGTCTGTCTAATTGCAAAATATTGTTGACCTCCAGAAATCTAAAATTTTTATCGTCAGAGATGCGACCCCAAAAAGAGTTTCGGCTTGAAGTTTTAAACGAAAAGGAAACTTGGAGTTTATTTGAGAAGAAGGCAGGCGACGTTGTTAAAGATCATGCTATACGGAATATAGCAATCCAAGTATCTGAAAAATGTAGAGGTTTGCCTGTTTTAGTTGTCATAGTTGCAAGCGCTTTAAAAAGTAGAAGTACTTTGTATGCATGGAATGATGCCTTGAGATGCCTAAAAGCGTTTGACGGTGAAGAGTCAACAGAAGAAGCATATTCGGCTCTGGAGTGGAGTTTCAATCAATTGGACAGTAAACTTAAGCCATTGTTCTTGCTTTGTGGAATCGTCATTGGCGTAGCCTCAGACAACTCTGCCCATTTGTCAGACGCCCGTTTGTCCGACTTGTTTAAATATGCAATGGGTTTGGGTTTGTTTAAGAACTGTCATTCATTGGAACAAGCAAGCAATGCATTGCATTCGTGGATCGAACAGCTTAAAGACTCTTGTCTATTATTAGACAATGTGGGTGATGAATTTATCAGAATGCATGATCTTGTACACAATGTTGCGATCACGATTGCATCCAAAGATCAATGCACTTTGTTTAGAACATCTGGAGGTGAGCTGAAAGAATGGCCTAATGATAGGGATTTTTTAGAAAAGTGCACAACTATCTCTTTGGCTCACTGCAATATCCCCAGACTTCCTGAAGTGTTCGAATGCCAAGAATTAGAGATGTTTATTTTGGGCTCTAATGGTGGTGACCCAATGGAAATCCCAGACACCTTTTTTAAAGGGATGATAAAACTAAAAGTTTTGGATTTAACTAAACTGGATATTGGATCACTGCCTTCATCTCTTCAGCTCCTAGAAAATCTTTGGACATTGTGCTTGGGTAGGTGCGTGTTGGGAGACATAGCTCTAGTTGGGCAGCTGACAAGATTAGAAATTCTTAGCTTTTTCCGTTCTGATCTTAAGGAGTTGCCTAAAAAAATTGGGAAATTAACTCATCTTCGGTTGTTGGATTTGAGAGGTTGCTATCAGCTTGAAGTGATTTCACCAAATGTATTATCAAGCTTGAAAAGTCTAGAAGACTTGAGAATGCACAACAGCTTCCACCGATGGGTGGCTGAAGGAGTCACCGGAGAAACTTTTGGAGCTAAGGGACTTGCCTCATCTAGCGGCATTAGCTGTACACATTCCGGATGCTAGAATTATCCCAAGGGGCTTGTTCTCTGACAAGTTGAAAAGATATGATTTATCAATTGGTGATACTCTTTACACTTATTTTCTCACAGCAAACTTCAAAGGCACCCATAGATGTGGAATACGGGACAGTATGGATGGAACCCTCAACACATTAAAGCTCAAGCTCACCACCAGGCAAGAATTGGACGATGGTCTAAAAATGCTATTGAAGAGATCTGAAGCTTTGTACTTGCCTGGGTTGGAGAACGACTTCCAATTCCAATCAGATAGTGAAGATTTTCAGCAATTGAAACACCTCTACGTTCAAAACATTGCTAAATTTACATACATCATAAATGAGAAGGTACATCGCTGGTTTCATGTTAATATTTTTTCTGTCTTTGCACTATAATTATCATCCAGAATTTTACAGAATGTGCAGTTCTGCATTTCATTATTTTTTTCCTGTCATCCTTCTATAAGTTTAAGAGGTCGCACTTGGTGCGATGGCAAGTGCCTTCGCCCATGAGCGGTAGGTCTCGGGTTCGAGACTTGGGAGCAGCCTCTCCATAAATGGGGGTAAGGCTAGCCGACATTCACCTCTCCCAGACCCTGCGTAAAGCGGGAACCTTATGCACTGGGTACGACTTTTTTTTTTATCCTTCTATAAGTTTAGAACATCGAAGTGATTAAAATAAGTCAACCAAGGAAGATAGTAACCAACATTTATGCTATTCGAAGAGTTTTCTTATATAAATATCAAAGCAAAAAAGCATTGTTTGATCTAGTGGTGTTCCCAATGTTGAAAGACATTCGATATACAAATTATTCCTTCCTCATAAAGAGAACTTTATTAGGTTAGGTATGAAATTCATCTTCAACCATATTATGGTAACTGAATTATAGGAATTTGATCTCTAAAGTTTTGGAATGCATATGACTAGTAACATTAATTGTCTTCTTCTAAACCCGAAGTGTGTACTGCAGGTTGGGTTGCCAAACTTAACGAGGTTGATTGTGTATGAATGTGGCTCAAGATTCTTATTTTCATCTTCCACGGCTAGAAGTCTAGTACAACTCAAATATCTTGAGGTAAAAAACTGCTACATGATGGAAGAGATAGTTTTAATACAAGAATATGGTGAAGAAAATGCAGCTGGCATGTTTTGTAAGCTACAACGTTTGAAGCTAACAAATCTTCAAATCCTCTCTAGATTCTGCTCAGGAAGTTATATCGAGTTTCCATCTTTGGAAAGTTTGGCAATAGTGAATTGTAATGTACTGGAGACATTCATTTGTGAACCTGGGAGTAAAAGCATTACAGTTCACAGAGAAACTAAAGAGGACTTGAAGAAGACGGTTGTACAATACTTTCTTTTTGACGACAAGGTGAAATATTGTACTATCATTTCTCTTTCATCATTATGTTTGTCTAATATATTCACTTGAATGAAAAAAGATCTAACAATTCCATAAGATGAATGTAGGTTGGGTTTCCAAAGTTGGAGAGACTCTTCATCTGTGGCTTAAATAAGTTGAAGGCAATATGGCACAACCAACATGTTCCAGGCTCTTTGTGCGGAGGAGATTATACTAAGGAAAAACATGAAGCATCTGCTCAAAATCTAGTCAAGGCAGTCATACGGAAGTGCAGCAATTTGCAATATATATTGTATTGTCCTGGAATTGAGGAAATCATTGCCGAGGTAGAGGGAGTAGAAACAACGCCCGAGTTTTGTGTTCCCAAAAGTAGTATCTTTTAGATTAGAAGAGCTGCCCCAACTTAAGAGATTCTATCCGGGAATACATGCTTCCAAGTGGCCGTTACTTGAAGAATTGATAGTGCGCGGATGTGATCAATTGGACATTTTTTCTGTGGAACTTCCAAGTTTCCAGAAACATGTTCTGGGTGGTGTATCTGCTCCAATTAAACAACCTCTCTTTTTAATTGAGAAGGTAATAAAAGTACTTTCGAAGAATTTATTCAAGCAAATATGAAATTCCTCTCTTGAAAAAAAAAAAAGTAACTGGACAACCAATCTCTTACTCATTATGTTGTTTAATGTTCATTGTTGATCCATCCATAATATATGTCAGGATTCATTCCCCAAGTTAGAGAAGTTGGTCTTGGATGGCACTATGGAGATTTGTGGCGACCTACTCCCAGCTGAGGTCTTTCGCAAACTCAAATCTGTCAAGTTTCGTGCTCCATACTCTATAGTGGAGACTTCACATGAGCAAGGTAGACCTGCAGAAATTACCTTGGAAGATGTAAGTGCTCAGAAGATTCAAGGATCGGGCGGGCTAAGGCATCTTTGGAAAGAGAATTCTGTCGGCATGCCCGGTTTTTCCGAGCTTGGAAATTCTAAGAGTGTTGGGTTGTATCAGATTACAGGATCTAGTGACATCTGAAATATCCTTCCAGAATTTAACAACTTTGGAAGTGGTTGGTTGTCATAGATTGAAGTCATTAACAAACTATTCGGTTGCTAAAACGTTAATGCAACTGAGAGAAATGACTCTTGTGAATTGTAAAAGAATGATAAAAATAGTGGAAACGTCAGACGGAGAAGATGCAGCAGGAAATGAGATTGCTTTTAGCCGGTTGCTACATTTGAAACTTTCAAGTCTTCCGAGTTTGAAAGACTTTTGCTCTGGAAATTGCATTGTCAAATTCCCACAATTAAAAACTTTCTCTGTAAGAAATTGCCCTAAGTTGAAGATTTCCTCGGAACTGGAAAGAATACCACAACAGGAGCAATTTTATAGGTATTTTGATTTTGTTTATAGCCACATTGTTGATGGTGATGACGATGTTGAAATGGTAAGTTTTTGTTCCCAATCTTCCATTTTTTAAATTTCTTGACATGAATATTGAAATGCACGTTGTATTTTTCTTTGTGATAGGTCCCCGAAAATTCCATTTGATGTTTCCAGAGGAGCACATTTCACCGCAAGGATGTATATGGTGAGTACCATCTAAATACTCTTATTATGGTTGTTGGAGAATGGAGAATAGAGTCTCACACTGAAGCTGTAACAAGATAATGTTCACTACTAATATCACTTGCTAATATGCGGTGCGCTATATTGAGCCTAAAAAGTTTTATCAATTGTGTTACTCATATTTTCCAATTTTTGTCTGTCCAGGACATTCTTTGTTGCACCTTAAACTTTTTGTGATCGCCGTTGTTGCTTTGTCTTAATTGAGAAGAAGCTTGCAGAAGGCTTCTGCCGGTCGGGAAATGCTTGTGTGATATTCGTGAAAGCAGCAGCCTCTCCGTTCGATATTGTCCAGGTCTCCGTTTTCTGGTTTTTCCAAACTTCGAATCTGTTTGTTTTCCCGGTTTCAAACCTTGATAGCTTTGCTTGTCTGGGGAATAAGTTGTTTCACGTCTTCCTTACATTTATGCATTACATACATAATACACTGTGCTTTTAGTCAGATTCAAGCCGTTCGATTTGACCATGGATTTAAAGGAAGCACATCGACAATGTGTGCAATACATTAGTGTAATATTGTTGAATTTTTATTATGGGAGTGTTTGTGGCTAGAATTAATCTTAGCAAGCCTAAAGTTATTATGGTGTATTGGTGTGTATGACTGCCAACGAACTCGGCCTACTAAAGTCTATGATATAAATGTGTTTAATATTACAGTTTAGTGGTATTCTTCTTCATTTGTAAGTGAGAGATTTTAGGTTTGAATTTTGAGAACAGTGAGTTCGCAACCAATCTACTCTCACTTCTTTAGTTGTATTCTTTTTCACTTGTAAGGATTAAGAAACAATCGAATAGACGTAAAATCGACAGTAAGGCACGAACATTGTAGATTTGGGCTTAGTGTGCGATTTGGGTCTTCGCTTGGAAGGATATAAGAACAGTTGAAAAGATGAAAAATGGGCAACAAGGCCTAAAGATTATAAATTTAGGCAAATGTCCAATTTCCACCCATGATTCGCCATTTCAATGAGAACAATGAAGTGAACAAGACGTGGAGTTCACCTCAACGTAGGGGCATTTTTGTTTGTTGAATTCCATCATTTATTAGTCTAAAACGGAACTTTAAAATTTAGGACCTTTTCGATATTGTGTTGTTTGTTTAAATCACAGTTATACACCTATTTTTTGGTCGAGAGAGACTGTGAAGAATTTCACCATGTTCGTGGTCACAGTCAAGCCGACTCATTAGCTCGGAGCATCTAACTCTAAACGTCCCATATTTTTTTTGTTTATTGGAGAGCCTCAGTTCGCGTTTCTTACCACTGAGTCATTTGCTATGGTTGTGTGGATTAATTTATTGGATGCGAACCTCAGTGGCATAGACTAAGCAAAAGCAGGACATCATGGTACCAATATTTAGATAATAATTATCCTTTTGCCTTTCTCCCAGAATCACACCAACACGTTGCTCAAGAAGAACATACACACCCACACCCCAATGATCGCATTAAGTCCAATATTCCAATATATAAACACACCCTGCAACGAGATTGGCGCATCGTATTCTTGCTTAATCATCGCATTAACAAATTACGAACCAAAATAGAAGTGATTTTTCTCAGCGTATAACAGTTGCAATGCTCGTGTATCAATCACTTACGTACGTGTAATATTATACTTTTATGATATATCAATTATACTAGTGTTATTTGTATTATACTACTTATTACGCGTGAGTCTGTAATAGTACTCCAACATTTCTTGTCAAGTACAAACCAAATTCTTGAAGCTTGTGAAATTTGTGACAACGTTTTGAGCAAAGAAAACAATTTTCTTTAATAATAATTAACACCAAATTCTTGAGTACTGCAAAATCACTTTTTTTTTTTTTTTTTTCATTTTATCTTTGTTAGAAATAAGAAGAAAAAAACTCACGTGATGTGCTTTTTTCGCTCATAATGTCACGGTACCAGGGATTCCCGTGGTGTGATTGGAACCAGTGATGGTTTTGATGTCGTTTTGTAACTTTTCTGCAAATGGTTTCTGACACTTTGATCTGAGAGCCTGAGAGTCTCCGCCCTTTCCAGTTCTCCCCCTTTGCAGCTTTCTTTCTGGGAGTTCTCACTTCCACCTTCTCTATCCCTATAATTTTTGGATGAAATGCCTTCAATTATTGTTTTGTTTACTAGCTAGATGCTCAACAAACAAATTTAGAAGTTGGTTTGTTAGTAGTGGAAAAGTGGGAGTATTGGATGGCTAGTGGTTTAGGCTAGTCAACTTTCTTTGTGTAAGTTAGACAAGTTATGCAAGTTACGCAAGTTAGGCTAGTGGTTTAGGCTAGTCAACTTTCTTTGTGTAAGTTAGGCAAGTTAGGTAAGTTAGGCAAGTTAGACTTTTGTCTTTTTTAAGTTACGTAAGTTAGGCAAGTTAGGTAAGTTAGGCAAGTTAGGCTTTTGTCTTTTTTAAGTTAGGCCAGTTAGGCAAGTTACGTAAGTTAAGCAAGTTATGCAAGTTACGTAAGTTAGGGTTATGTCTTCTTTCTTTCCCTATATATATGTTTCATCTTGTAATTGTTTCTTCATGGAATACACATCAAAAATTCTACAGTTGGGGTTTAGTATGTATAATAAATAAATATTGAGCGACCCCATCATCATTTCTCCTATACAGGAGGCACCCCACCACCTCTCATTTTCCTGTAAACCGTTTCAATAACATGTCCTGGGAGGAGAATGGCCACCGCGTGGTGCGCACCCTTCATCTTGTTGTTCATGGCGTTCATTGCCTTCATGGTGTCCATAAACTTGGTCATTTCGTACAAGCTGTTTCCACCGCTCCCTCCCAATTTCCTGTTTATCGCCGGTGATTGGAGGAAGGAGGGCTCGGTGAGTCCAGTCAAAGACTATTTATTTAATTTTTTTTTTTTTGTTAATACGAAAATAATTCTGGTTTTATTTGTTTGTTAATGATTAATCATTGATGTTTGTCTTGTTGCGTGTTCATAATCCGTTTAGACTTTTGGGTTTGCTTGATGATAGAGCAAAGGTGTGTGATTAGGGAGTCGTTGACTTTGCTAATCTGATTGTTTGTTGCTTAAGCAAAGGTGTTTAACCTAAATCAACCTTCGACTGTTCACTTAAAACAGCTGATGGTCGCTGATAATTTCGTAATCCAAAGTTTCAGGCATAGATTTTGCAGTTTCCATGTTTCCAGGAGTTACCTTGTATTTTGAGACCACACATGTGAACATAATTCCAATTTTTTGTGTTGTAAAAATGAAAAATGGATAAAAATATCTTCCTATTTTCGTGGTAGGAAAAAGAACAGGTAAAAATATCTGACAAGAATCTCAGCTCCATTGAAGTAAAAGGGTCCTCTTATCAGGCTCTCTTTGTAATTCATTGGCTTTTGATATAAATTATCCGAAAAAGTAGATAGTTTTGAATTCAACTAGTACTCAATTGGACCAGCGTATCATAATTATCGGAGAAATAATTAGTTGATGCATTTGCTCTAACCTTACCATGTGTCCCTGGCAAGTGATTTGTAGGTTCAGATACTGTCATGACCAAATATTTGCATATGAATTATGTTAATTTACTCTTGGAATAATTTTGAGGGGTAATCGGTTGAGTCTCTGATTGTATTTCGTTTGTCGCCCGTTAAGTCATGTTACATTGTTTTGCTTTCGTGTTGAAACAGAGCAAGGGCAATCCTAAGAGCAACTCCACCGGGAACAAAATGTCCCAGCCCTCAGTCCAAAAAACAAGCCAGCCCTCAGTGAATTTGCTCCAGCCCACAAAATGTCCCAGCCCCCAGCCCATGCCAGGCAACAGGCCAGCCCATTTCGGACAGACCCAGAGGCCGGCCTATTGGCTGGCGCGTGCAGCAGAATCGCGCATGTGCGCGAGTAGCAGACAGGGTTGCAGGCGGCGGGGCCCGCTTGTCAGCCCACTTGTGTTCACCCGGAATAGGGCTACGTGGCCCTCCTCAGTGCCGTTGGATTTCCAACGGCTATTTTTTGTAGACCGTTGGATTTCCAACAGTAAAAAAAATTTAAATTTGACTTTTAAAAAGGACCGTCCGATCACAGATCAACGGTCCACGTTAATGAACTAAATTAAAATTTATTAAAAATACAGAAAAATTATTAAAAAATACAGAAAAGTTTTAAAAAAAAGAAAAAAATTCTATAAATACCTAACCCTCATCTTCCACCTTACACCACATTTCAATATTTTCTACACTTTCTACCAAAGCTTTCATATACTTTTTGTGTGAAAAAAAATACCAAAAAGCTTGTGGTTGAAGAATAAAGTGTATTTGATGAGTTTATGTAATTTCATTTTAGTGTGTTTTTTTTTATAGTTTATTTGATGAGTATGTAATTTTATTACTATTCACTCCAGTCTATTACTGTTCACTTGAGTGGATAAATGCGCTGGGTGCTGGCGCAAAGTCCTTAGGGGTGGAATTGCTCTAATGAGAGGAAGGAGTAGTGGAGGTCTGTATTACATCGCAAATAGTCGAATAAGCAGCATGGTGTTTCTAATCCAAAAGCATTTCTTGGGCAAATCATGAAGGCTTTCTTGTGGCACCACAGATTAGGACATCGCAGAAATGCTATGTTACATAGAATGTTGTCTCATTCTAAAGTTGTGTATAAATCAGATATAAAAGAAACACCATTAGTGTAATGTTGTCTCATTCTAAAGTTACATTAGTGTAATGTTGTTGAATTTTTATTATGGGAGTATTTGTGGCTAGAATTAATCTTAGCAAGCCTAAAGTTATTATGGTGTATTGGTGTGTATGACTGCCAATGAACTCGGCCTACTAAAGTTTATGATATAAATGTGATTTAATATTATAGTTTAATGATATTCTTCTTTATTTGTAAGTAAAAGATTTTATATTTGAATTTTAAGAATTGTAAGTTCGCAACCAATCTACTCTTACTTCTTTAGTGGTATTCTTTTTCACTTGTAAGGTGTTTGTACCATACTTGACCAATCTCGAAATTACTGAGCACCGGTTAACGTTATACCGTTAAGGACTCAGAAGAGTTTCCTTCCAACAGAAGGCTAATCATAGCGCGACACGTGTCGACATCAGAAGCCAATCATAGCGCGATACGTGTTAACATCAGAAGCTAATCACAATACGATACGTGTCAATGTCAGAATGAAACTAGAAACTCTCTTTTATAAATAGAGATTATTCTCTCACAATATTTCTTAATGTCATTTGTACTAAATCATTTATTAGTACTCACAAACAGAGAGCTTGAATCTATGTACTTGTGTAAACCCTTCACAATTAATGAGAACTTCTTTACTCCGTGGACGTAGTCAATCTAGGTGAACCATGTACATCTTGTGTTTGTTTCCCTATCTCTATTCATTTACATACTTATCCACATTAATGACCGGAGTAATCTAGCGAAGGTCACAAATTTAACACTTTTTGTTGCACCAAAATCCTTACTGATTTTGTGCATCAATACAAGGATTAAAGAACAATTGAATAAATGTGAAATCGACAGCAATGCTCGAACATCGTAGATTTGGGCTTAGTGTGCGATTTGGGAAAATGGGCAATAAGGCCTAAAGATTATAAATTTGGGCAAATGTCCAATTTGCACCCATGATTCGCCATTTCAATGAGAACAATGAAGTGAACAAGACTTGGAGTTCACCTCGACGTAGGAGCATTTTTGTTGTTGTTGAATTCCATAATTTATTAGTCTAAAACGGAACTTCAAAATTTAGGACCTTTTCGATATTGTGTTGTTTGTTTAATTCATCTCCTATAATTGTATTCCTAAAATGTATAGAGCTAAGAGGCACACCAAAGCGCCCTCAGAAGTGCTAAGAATGTTATCTTATAAGTTTATAACATCATTCAATAATAATAAACTTTAAAGTAACATACAACGTTTTATAAATAATTCAAAATGAGTTAATCATAGAGCTAGTTTAGGAGTTTTTTTTCCTTTGGTTTTCTTGAACAAACGATAATCTATACTAAGGATGGGGTGAGCCAACCCTCATAATATGATTCAAACTCATATTTGGCGATGATCGAATCTAAAATCTTTCACTTATAAGTAAAAAAAAAAAACGTTAAATTGTAGGGATCCTCTTGAATTTTAAAAGCACAATTGAATTAACAACCTAAAGTTGGACAAGGATCCTCTCTGGGATCAATCAATCATTGTTTGTTTAACTTACATCGTACGATCAATTTTCGTTAGTTACTATTTATATTTAATTTAAAATTTAAAATGATTTTGAACTACGATGAACGGACACGATTGATTGATTCCGAATTCCTAATTCCTGGAAAGAGGATCCTACTCGCCTAAAGTTGTTAATTTTGGATAGACTCTGACGTACACCGTCGTAATGCGGAGGTGTCACCTTGTGAAATTGTATACCCCGAACCCGCTGAATAATCAATCCCGGTCGACCGGGAGGAAACTCAAAGCGAAGCAGAGAGGAAGAAGAACAGAAAACGAAGGGGTGAGAGAACAAAACCTGTTCCGGTTTGAAAATTCGGAGTGAGAGAGGCAACACTGCAATACGACACCGTTGCGTTGTGAACCTCTGCTTTGCTTTGCATCTGGCAGAAGAAGAAGAAGATGCTCCGAAAATGTGGCGGCAAATCGGAGACAGAGAAGCGGGCAAGCTCCGCCCAAATTCGTTCTCGAATCGAATCAAGTCCACCCGGATCCAAACGCTCCAACTCTCCAATCACAAAGACTTCATCTCCCCTCATCGCGGCTCCGTCAACACTCTTCAGCTGGATTTGACGGAGGCCCGGTACCTGTTATCCGGCGCCTCCGATGCTTCCGCTGCCGTGTTCGATGTCCAGCGCGGGACCGATTACGGAGGCGGCGGAGCTATCACGAGGCACAAGTGCTTGTTTGTGGTGGATAAGCAGCACGAGCACGGGCATAAGTATGCGGTGTCCTCCGCCGTGTGGTATCCGGTCGACACCGGACTGTTTGTGACGGGTTCGTACGATCATCACATCAATGTTTGGGATACGAATACGACGCAGGTAGTGATGGACTTCAAGATGCCGGGGAAGGTGTACCGGACTGCAATGTCCCCGCTGGCAACTTCTCACATGCTCATTGCTGCCGGTACCGAAGATGTTCAAGTTCGCCTCTGTGATATTGCTTCTGGGGCTTTTGCTCACACCTTGTCTGGCCACCGCGGTATGTCCCGAAATTTGCAGAATTAAACGTTTGATGCACATTTGATACATACAGAGTTAGAAAAATCAAAACTTGATATCATGAGTGAACACATGAAACATTGGGGATGACAGTATTGAGGGTATAAGTAAGGATTTTGTTTGAAATTTGGGGTGGATGATCACGAATATTGCGAAAATCACTTCTTTAAATAACCTGGCCTACTCGGTTTTCTCAGCATTCTGTAAATTTGTATCATTTCTGGTTGAACCCTGTAATCGTATAGTAGGCTCAAGGCTGGCCTGGCATTTGTGGACAGCAAGAATTTACGATACACCGTGTTGTATTTTTCATGATGGCAGATGGTGTGATGACTGTGGAGTGGTCTACTTCTAGCGAGTGGGTATTGCTTACAGGTGGATGTGATGGTGCAATACGTTTTTGGGACATTAGACGTGCCGGATGTTTTCGTGTTTTGGATCAATCTCAGTCTCAGCTTGGGAGGCGTCCACCCATCCTGGAACGCTCTGCCACAATTAAGGTTTTCTTATTTGCTTTGCTGAGCCAAAAGCGTTTGTTTTTAAATTACTGATTGCGTTCAGTTTTTATGATTATATTATTTGCTTCACAGTTAGTTAGCCTGTTTCACCAGCAAATCTGAAATGGTTCTATATATGCACTGTCTATTTGCTTGCATTATTAGTAATGTTTGTCATTGAAGCTTGTAGTTAGTAGGAGAATCTAGTTTTAACTGGAGAAAATTATTATGTTGAACTTTCCCTTGTACTGATAATATTTGATTTTATGTCCGGTCAGGGTTCAACAGTTAAGCCCTCGTCATCAAGTCAAAGCACATCTGCAAAAGCTCGGGCACCACAAAGGAAACTTTCTAATGGGAGTGGTGCAAAGCACTCACCCATTGGTAAAAGTCCAGCAAAGGGATCTATGAAGCAAAGATTACATCCAGGGATGCTGTCTAGTCAGGATCGTGCCACTGCCCATTATGGTGCTGTTACTGGATTAAAAGTCACTGAAGACGGCATGTACCTCTTGAGTGCAGGTTGGGTTATTTCATTTTGGACGTTTGTTATACTTAAGAAGGAAATCCATTTTGAATAGTCTATACATATTTTGAATCCCTTTAACGGAGTTAATATTTATAATAATCACAGCGGTTTAGGTTTACTCTTTATTTATTTTTATTTTTATCCATTAGTTTATACTTTATACTACCATACTACTGCAGGTCACTGACAAGTGACAGTTACAACTTAAAACCTTGATCTATATTACAAATTAACAAATACATTTTAATCTGACAAAGAAATGAAGAATACACTTTAAATCTGGTGAGGTGATCAAATACTCACAGAATCAGTGCAGTTTAACCCGATTTGCTGGTGTTGTACAGTATGGATCACGCTGACCTCCAACAGAAAATAAAAATAAAAAGAGAAATCATGCACGGGGGCCCTCACCTTAGTTTCCTATTAAATATATAAATTATTCCTTTCGTGCAAAAGTCAGCTGATTGGGTTTTTCACTCGTTCCTCACTGCCTATGTCATTGATCAAGGTTTTACATTTCAGGTTCCGATTCAAGATTGAGGTTGTGGGATGTAGAATCTGGCTGCAATACTTTGGTGAACTTTGAAACTGTGCGTATGCAAACCAGCAGGCCCATACAGTTAGCTACAAGTCAGAATTCGGAGCTTGTTTTTGTTCCCTGCATGACAGCTGTGAAGGTAATGCCTTTTTTTGTAGGTTTTATTCTTTCTGAATTTTACATGTGGATTAAAATTCAACCATTTCCATAAAACTTCAAAGTTTGACATACAGATTTGTTTTTTCAGGCATTCAATATGTGGTCGGGTAAAACATCCCTGAAATTTCGCGGTCACTATGAACATGTAAACTGTTGCTGGTTTAGTTCACAGGATCAGGTACTCTTCAAAAAATTTAGGATTTATCTATAGGCCTTCTCCAATCAACACTTTATAAACTAAAATGGCAAGTTAATATTCCAGTCAGTTGTTCCGACTTCTATGTCAATTAATAGGAGCTGTAAACCTTTTTCTAACTGTCCTAGTGAAGTTTGTCCTCATGAATTGTAATTCATATCTCACATTGCAGGAATTGTACACTGGTGGCAATGATAGACAAATTCTAGTTTGGTCGCCGCCCAGATTGGTTTCTGATGAGGTGGTACACCTGATGGTTTTTTGTAACTAACCGTATTAGTTGCTTAGCGGCCTTGTATCTTATACATTTTTGGAAATGCAGGATGAAGGACCCTCTAAGGACGAGGATAATTGGAGCGACTAGCATCTGCTGTGCTTACGATCCTCATTTCTGCTAGGTAGAGTGCATTGGTCTTTCTCTGTCGTTTTCTGTTTTGCTTTTAGATCTAAGATGCTGTATTTGATAGGCACAATCATTAGTACAGAGTTTGTTTTTTTTTTTTTTTTTTTGGCGTGTATATATGTAAATTTAAACTCATTCTTAAGTAGAATCAAGGGACAAATTCATGGAAAAAATTGTGCGCTGATGAATTAAAAGAGAAAAACTGAGTCAGTTCCAAATGAAAAACGAAAGTTGACGATTGATATTTAGTTGAAGAACACATTAAAAAATTGTGCATAATTACCAGATGTGTCTGTCAAATATATCTCTCAATAATCTGTTTGGCGATTCTGTACAGTTACACCCTTACAAGATTCTGGAATCAACCTAAAGTTCTGTTCGTTGTACCATGCCAAGAAACTAGGTTCGTTGTTGTCCAACAGCATGCAATCAACATCGTCAATAAAAAACTTGTGACCGGAGCCAATATTCCCCAATTCTTGATCTAAAGCTCCATTCTCCGGCTGATTGTCTTCCGCCTGAGTTACTGTAGAGATGGCACCAGGCAATTTATCAAATTTGGTACTTCCCTCAAACGGTATGACTGCTTGCGTCGCAGAGTTGGTTTGTTTCAATACTTTATGGCACATGATGGTGCCCTGGAAATCCATGAAAGTATAATTCAGAAACTGCATTCTCTCATCAGCTGTCATCTTTGAAAACCCAAATGAAGTGCTAGTCCATGTATCCAGGGTACTAGATGCAGAAGGCAAAATCAGTCTCTCAACTCCCAAGTTGGCGAGCTGGTTTTCGAGCTCGTCCATCAGAACACGACACATTCCTTGTCTACGATAATGGAACCTAGTTGCCACCAGAGGCACTTCCACCACCTCACTGTAGATCCTTACACAAGCGACGGTAATCACTTCCTCATCTCTCTCCAAAAGCAGTGTGTAAAACCTTCTGAAGTTCAACCGGCTCAGGTCCGACTCTCTGTTGAAAATAATGTCCTCAACAATGTCTCGTTTCGTGTAAGGATCCTGAGAAGGCTCGAAACACTCGTGCATCACACTCAGAGCCAAATTGAGCTTGCTGTAGGTTTCTGTCAAGTCCTCCATATCAGAATCAGATGGAGGAGAAGGCCTCAACAGTGTCCAGGTCAGATTGTCAGTACCCACCAGAATTCGTTTCCCCACAATCTTGTTGATACCCAGATATATGCCTTCACATTTTCTGCTGCAAAACCAGTTTCCTTTGGAATCCCTTTCCAATTCCTCAACCCCTTCATTCCTAAGGCACCCATAGTGGTATTTTTTATCACATTGGCCACATATCACAAAACTATTATTTCTATCCTCCTTAGGGTTTCCTTTACCACACTTTACACAGCAACACGATGGGCAGAACCAATCGCCTTCCGACACATCCTTCAAACCAAGGCAACTAGTGTGGAATGCAGCGGGACACCGATCACAGAGAATCAGATCGCCTCCAAAGTGACACACAGTGCATATATCATCGTTCTGATCACGAGGAGGATGATGATCTTGATGCACATTGCCAGTCGTCGCTACTTCATTTGACCTCGTGACGGTGTTGGCGCTTCCTTTCCGACTCTTCATCGTTTGCCTCTGACAATCGTTGAGAGTCCTGCCATCTTCCAATATAATGTGGGCGCTTGGTCGATGGTGTGCTACCAGCGTGCGTTTCAAACCCAGTGAGGGTAAACACCTTAAAACAACAGTCACACTTGATTCCCTCGCGAGTAATCCGACCCGTCGCCAATGGACTGTCAGTGCCCTTTCTAGGGCGGTAGTGTACCTTGGCGTTCGGGGACACACCATTACTTTCGATCAACCAAGACAGGACTGTCCTAGGGTTTCGAGTACCGGGATCCGTGATCTCGATATCTCTCGCTCTTTTGGTTGACCGTAAAATGCGTCTGGCCTGCTGTTTACTAGCTTTATTCTGTCTCTTTAGTCTCTTCATATCCGCATGAACCTTACCTCGCTTCTGTTCCGGACTCCAATCATCATCGACCATCGATATTCCACCAATCTTTCTCTTCTTAACTGTTTTCCCCCGCTCCTGTTTCGGACTCCAATCATCATCTACCTTCGAGATTTCACCAATCTCTCTCTTCTTAAACGTTTTCCTTGATGTCGACTGCGGTGTAATATCTACTACAATATCAAGATCAGCAGAGCACTCCACGGAATTCGAACCAATGCTTTCGGAAAACACTCCTCCTCGTCCTGGAGAATTTACACAGGCTTGGCAAGCCATGCGAAGCGAGTAGTAAACTTTTCCAGTGGGAGACTCGTACCGCAACTCGATCTTCTGCTTCTTGGTTGCATACCAGAACTTCCATCCCAAGGCGGAGAGGTGCCTTCTCGCCTTCTCGGTAATATCAGAGTTCCTACGGCCGTTCTTCGTGTTGTCATTCGCCCAGTACTGAACTGCCGAGGGGCATAACTCTGGTTCCACGGTAAGTACCGGCTTTCGCTTCACAGCCTTCATAAAATCTTCAAACCCTAATGCAGAAAAGTACAATCCAAGAACTCAAGAAATTGCGAAAGACAGAGAAGTAAGAGGGAGAGGGAGAGTTGTATTAGGGTTCAAAGTGATGGAGGAGAGGTTTGGGATATTTAACTTGGGTGCTACGGAATCCTAGTAGGATCAGGAAACTATTGATCTCTGGCCAGATCAACGGTCAGAATTCATCTCCACTTTTTTTTCTTCAAAATTTGTTGGCGTTGAGCGAAAATCTGATCTCTGTAAATATTTGACGATGTAAAAAAAAAAAAAAGCAGCAGTAGTTGGAGAACAACTGAGAGAGATTAATGGTGAAGTATTTGAGACGGTTGAGGATTGTTTTATATGTATGGGCCGGGTCGGGTTTTCCTACCGGGCTGAGGATTTCTGGTTTTTCAAATTTATTTATTGGAACGTTTCCAATTTATTAACTATTCCTAATCCAAGTTGGATTAGGGATTTCAATTCAAAATGTTTGGCACCAACTCGTGAGCGAATCACTAGGAGCCGTTGATAAATCATTCCAAAAAGTGAAGAGGGCTCAAATCAATGGTCAAAAAACGTCCTTGATTGCATGAAACGCAAAGTTCCAAACGCCGCGCACCGAATTTCATAGACTTTTATCACTTCCAACATTTGTTGTGTATAAAATTGGAAAAATCCAAAACAACTAAGCTCCATTAGCTCAAATTCTAGTTTATAATTATATGTAACAAATAACAAATCTGGGCCATCTTCATATTTTGCCACAAAAATCAGTGGGAAATATGCAAAAAGTTGATTTTCCAGTCTTTTTATTTCTTTTACATATGATCGAATATCTTAGTAGGTACAGTATTACGTTTATGCTCATGTGTTTTGAATTTGAAATCCTCTCTCACTTAATAATAAATTTTTTAAAAATAATAATAAATCGTAGTATGTTTTGGTGTCTTGTCTCATTTTTATATTTAATTAGAAGTCTATAGCAAGCTCTATTTTATTACATATATTATAGTATTATATGCATGGCGTGTTTACGTACCCATAATGGAAATTAAAATGTGGAATTGAATTCCGATTACGGAGTACTCCAATGTTTACTAAATCCTGAGGAATTGAAAAAGTGGTGGGACCCATAAAAATTTTGGAATTCAATTCCTTTTTTTGGAGAAATTGGGGTATTTTAATTTCGCCTGATGTGGGGAATCCTGAATACAAATTTTTTACCACTTATGTCCTCACTTTATTTTTAAAATCCCAACACTACCCTTTGCATTAACAGAAGATCCCCACATGCCGATGTCCAACGCTAATGTCCAGTGCCACTCCCTCCCCCAACACCACAACAACCCATGCCCAACGACGCAACCCAAACCCGCTACTCCCACTCTCCGCCATATCTCTATGTTTCCCCAAGAAAATTTTGAAATCAAATGCTCTGGGTTAGAGGGAGAGAGAAAGAGTTACAGAGTTACAATGGAGTTTATTTGCCATCAGATGTCCAAGACTTGAAATGGATAAACTTGAAATCATAATGGAATGGATTGAGATAGCGAGAGGTGGCGGTGAGGAGTGGGTTCTTTGGGAAGAAAAATATAAGATGAGTGTGGGGTTGAGTTATTTTTTATTTAAATAAATATATACTCACTTTTTTTTTTATGAATTATTATACAAAATTTTATTTTATAGATTTTGAATAAGGGTATTTTTGTAATCATATTGAATTATATTTCGATTCTAGTGAATTAGTACACTTATATGGAATAGGTACTTTTTTTACTTCGATTTAAGAAAATTTAAATAAACAGCTTAAACAGGAATCCAATTTTAACTCATCCCCATTCCAACTTCTTCTTAATTCAATTCATCTTCAATTCAATTATTCTCATTCTAATTATGGATTAGTAAACGAGCTAGTAGATCCTTCTAAGGGTATATTTACTTCTTCTAAATTGTTATATAAGATAATGACATTCGTCACCTTCTTGATAACATATCATATTTTCACATACAAAAAAGAAAAAGAAAAAGTGCGTTTTATATTAAAATCCGTTATCTAATACTAAACGATTAGAAATTAAACGCTGCTTAAGGAGTGATTATGTATCATTTTAATTGGCGAGGTTCCTGATTGAGGTAGATAAACATGCGGTCGTGTCTAGATCAAATTCTTGATGCGCAATTGTTTGTTTTTCCATCCCAAATGCTGCGCTAAAAAACGATCAACCGGCTAACACTTGATTATCTTTGAATAATTAAACGCACTTAGTGTAAGTCAATGCTTTCTCTCTCTCTCTCTCTCTCTCGGCATTTATCTTTAAAAGCTAAAAACTTTCTCTTTCCTCTCAAATGCTCTGTTTGAAATGAAAGACCACTCTCCGCCAAATCACTACGGCCAAACCACCGCCGTCCCCACCTCTCCTTCCACCCCACCGAAGATGGACGCCAGGATATGGAGCAAGCTGCCGGAGGAGCTCCTCGACCTTGTCCTTTCTTTCCTTCCTCTCAAAAACTTCCTGATTCTCAGATCGACCTGCAAGCGCTTCAAGTCGCTGTTATTCTCTCCCTCCTTCGTCTTCAAGCACTCCTCCGCCTTCCTCCTCCTCTCCCACCCTCAGTGCTTCCGCCACTTCCCTCTCTACGACTCCGACACCACCACCTGGCGCAAGCTACCTCTCTCTCTCTCCGCTCCGCTACCCTGCGCTGCGGGCGCAGCAGCACAAGCCTCCCTCCTCTGTGCCTCCAATGGGTTGCTCTGTTTCTCTCTCCCCAATTCGTTTCTCGTCTTCAATATTCTGACCAAGTCCTCGAGAGTGATCAAATTTCCAGATTGCCCTTTTGGATTCGAGCTTTTCTCTTTGATATCCACCCCTGCTGGGTATAATCTTTTCATGGCCTCTTCTAGGTCGTCGTCCAAAAGCACTTTTGTCTACCATTCAAAGGCGCGATCGTGGCAAAAGTTTGACTTTACCGAGACGATTTTAAGTGACAATTGTCACCAGAAGGGAGTTTACTTCAAAGGGTGTTTGTATTTCGTGACGCCGGAACCGTTTTCGATTGTCTGCTTCGAATTCGAGAGCGGGAAGTGGGAAAGACCGATTCCGGAGCTTCCTACAGAGCTCGTGTTTGCTCGGCTTGTCAGCGGAGGAGGAGAGAAGAAGCTGTATCTGATTGGTGGGGTCGGCAGGAATGGGATTGCCAGGAGCTTGCAAGTGTGGGAATTGGAATTTGGCGGTGGGATGAAGTGGGTGGAGGTGGAAAGCTTGCCGGACAGGATGTGCAAGAAACTGATGTCGGTTTGCTTCCATAACTACGAGCATCTGTACTGCTTTTGGCATCAGGGTTTGATCTGCGTCTGCTGCTACAATTGGCCGGAGATTTTGTACTTCAAGATCTCGAGGAGGACGTGGCATTGGATCCCCAAATGCCCGTCTCTGCCGGATAAATCCAGCTGCGGATTCCGGTGGTTTTCATTTGTACCGAACTTCCATTCATCCGCCTGAGTAGAAAGACTTCCACGAAGCGACACACAAAGATGATTAAGTTTAGTTGTTTTTTTTATTTCTCAATTTCTGCTTCTGCTTCTAATAAGTACTTAGGTTCTTTGCTTGATTCGATTCTGCTTCTGTATGTTTTCATAAAGGGAAATCTGTTTAGAGATTAGATTTTTTATATTTTATGTTTGTGGGATTTCAGAATATTGTTTTGTTTTCACTGATCTTTTGTAATGATTGACAACACATCCCTTCCTTTTATTCAGTAGTACAAGTGACGCGAATTTATAAAAATATTATTATAAGTAGCATCGATATGAAAATTTGTGAAAATATCAAATATTCATTTTATAAAATGTCATATGACAATTTGTCAATATTTTTGTGTTATGTTAAAAATATTGACAAAATATATTAATTTTAACTGTAATAAGAATTATTTCAACGTGAGATATAATAGGGCTGGGCACGGGCCGGGCCGAGCCGGGCCGAACCTAAGTTTGTAGGAACCTGACATTACCCGAAACGGGCCAGGACGGGGCGGGGATTGGATTTTCTTGTATAGGAACCGGACATTACCCGGCCCGGTTAAAACGGGCCGGTTCGGGCCGGGTCCACGGGTACCCTTTTTTTTTTTTTTTTTTAACTGCACTGCACAGTTTGAAAACTGCACAGTTTGCAAACTGCACAGATTGCAATTTGCAACTGCACAATCACAGTGACACTGCATTAGAAAGAAATAACAGTACGATTCATGTGCAAAGGCATGAAGAGATAACAGCATGCCAATAGAAAATTTCCTCAATTTTTTTTTATCAGCCAGGTTTCTCTCCAAAGCAACATCAGGTCCATGCTCTGATACATGAAGCATTGCTACCGTTGAACCATATCTAGATTCTAAATTCTTCAAAAGGCGATGAGTAATTTCCTCAGCTGAGATAACGAGTGGTGCACTAACTAATGATTCATAAAATATAGCAGAAGCTGTTTTTCCCAATTGTTGGCTGACATTAACAACACATCTAAGCATTTTAACGAGCACCTCTAATTGAAGAATTAAACCCGCCTCCATGGTAACAAAGATGGATGAGATCATCAGAAGTACCTATCAAATATGAATGTGAGAATTCCAAAATAAAAGGGACAAGCATTAAAAATAAGAAAATAATTGGTCCTAAAACAAAAAAAATGGAAAGGTTCAGCTAAAGCAACAATACCTGAGATACCATTAATAAGCCGCTCAATATTCTCCGAACAACGAAAAAGAGATACTGAGTTCTTTCTGATCAATCCAAAACTACCCCTGTAGGAATCCAAAAGCAAGCCACATAGTGCATTGCTCTTGCACCAATTTTGGAAGTAGGGAGAACATAATTTTTTCCAACAGCACAATATTGACGTTGAATTATCACTAACACCCTAAAACAATAGACAACATACATTGGTTATCTGTTAGCTAGCAACCCCAGGTCATTCCTATCCCCTCCACGGTGTCATATGAGTGTGTGAGAGAGAAACAATAAAAACTCCAACGCAAACCTCATGTTCAATCAGGGAAAGAATTTCCTTCTTCAACATATCGGCGGTTAGAGAATGGAAATCTGAATCACTCCAGTGCCTGTTATAATCCAGCAAGGTTGAGCGCAAAGCAATATTATGATGAACCCCAGGAAGAAGCAGCCTGCGTAAGAAAATCGAGGATACAACCGGTACAATATGATCCTGCAGAATTTTCATCAAGCGAAACATCATAAGCAGCTTATTTAATATATAATAGCTTCTAGACTAGCTATAAATGAACATCTTACATAAATTTTCATTCTTGTTCAGTTTATAAATATTTTCTACTAACGTTTATACTCAACCCATACACACAGTTAACGCTTGATTACCAACATTTTCTCAGCATTCAAAGTTACACAAACATATTTTCTGAGCAGCCAAACAGAGTCAAAAGTCATACAAAACCTGCTGGGGCCAAATATCTTTCTTTTTTTTTTTTTAAACAAAATCACAAAAACCAAGAGCAGAAAAGTATGAGAAGAAAATAGAAAGTAGGTCCAACAAGTTTGGAAATTTCTAAACCTCACCATCAATAGCTAAAACTTCCAAACCAACAACAAACGCATGCGACAACCCGCAAACCCGCCATCGCTCTAAAACCACTTACGGAAAAATTTTAATCCGATAACTCATCCGAAACCACTACTCAGCTCCAAATATAAAAAATTAAAATTAACAGGAAAGAAGACGACTACAAAACAATCGGAACCAAACGAAGTCGGAAATGGAAACCAGAGAGTCATCTATCAGACTACCGGAGCTCCAAAAACGCCAAAAAGCAGTGAATTTTTTAACGATCGAGAATCCGAGAAGGAAAATAAAATGAGGAAGCTTTAAGAGAAACATATCAATAACCATAGATTGGAGCTAGAACTCTTTATTATACTAAAAATAGAGAAACCAGATCATCTTTGCCGAAAACAATAGAGAAAACATCAACCCACTCACACACAGATCAGAGACAACGGCGTTTGGAACCCTGAAAATTTAAATAGTTACCTGAAAATTTAAACAGATCAGAGACAAAGTCGCAGCTGGTGATGCTTTGTGGATGGCGGCTTGTGGCTGGCGCAGATGGTTTACGGCGGGTGAGCTGGGTATATGCCTGGTTTACGGCGGCTTGTGAAGGTTTAGGGTAGGTGAGATGGGAGAGAGAGAGAGAAAGAAAGACTGTGAGAGAGAGAGATCGAGAAGAAGGAGATCGAGAGGGAAGAGATCGAGAGAGAGGAGATCGAGAGGGATGAGATCGAGAGAGATCGGGAGAGCGGAGAGATCGAGGGAGGCGGAGAGATCGAGCGGAGAGATCGAATTAGGTCTGAATCCTGATAAGAGTAAATTGTACAAATGGTCCCTCAACTTTAATCAAATTGGAGCAATGGTCCCTCAACTAAAAATCCATTACCATTGGTCCCTCAACTTATCAAAATATGTAGCTATAGTCCTTTTCATCAATTTTGTCAAAATTTTGTCAAAATAAGCTATGTTGGAATGACCATTTATATAATTAGGGTCCCTTAACTCATCAAAGTGTATAATTATGGTTCTTTTCGTCAACTATGTCAAAAAATTTGTCAAAACAAGTTATATTGGAAGGACCATTGCTACAATTGGGTTAAAATTAAAGGACCATTTCTCCACTTGAATTAAAGTTCAGGGACCAATGGTAATGGATTTTTAGTTGAGGGACCATAGATGCACGTTTTGATAAGTTGAGGGACCAAATGTAATGAATTTTTAGTTAAGGGACCATTGCTCCAATTTGATTAAAGTTGAGGGACCATTTGTACAATTTACTCTCCTGATAATAAAAGGGTGAGTGACAGTGAGGGTCGAATTCTAATAATAAAAGAGACCGTAATCACAGTAGACCAACGGTCCGGGCCGGGGGCCCGTTTTCTCCAATCTTTAGAACCGGCCCGTCCCGTTATTTATCTGGAACTGGCCCGCCCCGCCCCGTTTTGTATTTGTAATTCTTAGACCCGCCCCGTACCCGTCCCGAACCGCAAAGACCCGCCCCGACCCGCGGGTCCAGGACCCGTTTGCCCAACCCTAAGATATAATTTAAATTTAACCCCAAACGTCACCCTCCTTTCCCCATTTGATACGGTCCATATTTCCACACTTGGAAGAAATTTCAATGAATACGACTCGGCTAATCCTTGTTTATTTGCTACTAGTCATTTAAATAATTTTATATTATACTAAACACCATACTAAAATGGTATTAACGTATGAAGATATTTATTGAATACGAGAGGAAGAAAATTATATTCTTTTTCAGCCGAAAATTAAAAAATACGCAGTTGAAAATTGTAGCGAAAGAAAGCAAAGGGTGATTGGGGTTCATTAAATAGATTCTCTGTTGCTTTCCAAACTAATTGTCATTAAGATGGAAAATTGCAAATGAATTTTAAAAGCAGACTTTTCAAAAACAATCTTGAAGAAGGTTTAACGACTGATTAGAGACTTTTAAAACAAATTGTCATTAAATAGATTTGTAATGTACTCAAGATATGAGTAATCATTACGTTGACATATCACCGTTTACACTCAAGTTTTTTCTCGAGAAACAATTGTGAAATTTCATTGGCAAAATTCTTAGAACTGTTTAGGGCTTGAGGGAGAGCGCCAACCCGAAGTTCGGATGCCTCTCTAATGCCTTGGTGTCAAAGGCTGCAGAGAGTGTAAGTGAAGATTTGGGTGTGAGCTGGTGCTGCAAAAGAGCCCCAAGATTGCCGTGGTTGTTGAGCCTCGCCTTCACAACCGTCTCAGGGTCAACCACGTATGAACCTCCGACTGTTAGCGTGTTCTCGTTCGTGGAGAACTTTCTGTTCACCTCTCCAACTACAGCTCCCCCATTCAGCCTGCTCAGTTGATGCACGTATGACGCCCGTAGTGAATCTCCTTTGTCAGCCCTACAAAATGAAAAGAAACATGTTTGCCATTTTCTTTGCCAATACAATTACTCTCCTCAAACAATCAAAGCAGAACGAAAGTTCATGTATACTAAAATATTGCATCAGTCTAACAGTCTAACAACTATGTCTATTTTTTTATTAGTGACCTATAACTGATGAACTTACAGAATCACAGAAGCTGTTGAATCGTGCTGTGTAAAGCTGACACCGGCATTGTACTTAGAAAACACTCTGGAACCTGTCAAGAAACTAGCTTCTGCTCCAAAGGCAATGGCCGGGGTACCAATGGTTGCCGAAAAGTCCACAGCAGGGGACTCGTTCAGACCAACAGCGGTTGTGAAGGATGCATGTTCGTGAAGATACTGGACTTCCAACTGCAATATATTGAACGAATGATTATCAGTTTCTGTAATAATTGTAAATTAATGTCCCATTTGATGCTAACAAAAGCCGATACCTTGCCAGATTTGTAATCAGGGAGTTTGATTGAAGCGATGGTTTTGGTAGAAGGCAAGATGTCAGTGACAGTGAGCATTGTTGAGACCTGCTCAAAAAAGAGACCAGCTGTCAGAAACAATTATCGGACTTCAAACTTGAGAAGGAAAAACGAAAGTTAGCAAACCACATTTGATTGTGTATCAGCTTTGACATCGAGCGCGACATTCTTGTATTTGTATTGTGCTGCTATATCCCCAGAAGACAGACCTCCGTTATTAGCCAAACCCGAGTTAAGGGCCTGAAATCAGAGATAAATTCATCATATCTAACTTCTGCAAGCCTTTAAGAAGCAACCGTTACAATCACAACATGGAACTAGTAAAGTCGATATATTCTCATTCTCAACGAAGAAAATAAGGAAATTCAAGGGGAGTTTCCCTGTTTAATTCGTAAGCAAGACCCAGCACTAAGCAGATATACAAATAGCAAACTTTTAAATTGGCACTTCAGCACAAATCTAAAGAGAATGCGAGTTATCCACTTCAATGTAATCCTATTCACCGAACCAGTCCAACATATCAACAAGCTTGCATGATTTGAATTGAAGCTTATGGTTACAACTTACAAGAACCAGCCCACAATATTGTACAAGAAACGTTTCAAGAAGTCATTTTTATTCTCTTTGAAGAAAATAGATTCGGAAAAGGCAAAGGGATCCAAATAAGCCCCAATTTTTCTCCCTCAAATGACCTAAGAAAACCAAAATATGCACCGTGAAGATTCAATTGCTTCCAATCCAATGCAGCAATTGAAGAAACACTTTTTGCCCATTACAAAAAACAAATAAATAAATGAAAAGAAAATCCCGCCAGCAAATAACTGATGATTCAAATCGTAAACCAACACAATACATATCATTCAAAAAATTGACAACATAAAACTTGCAACAAATTAAAAATTGTTGAAAAAATATTATTTGGGCTTACAAGTCCAGTTTCAGTGTAGGTGGTAATGTTGATCTTCTGGTCAGTGTTATAGTCCCTGTTAAGCAAGTCTGCAAATTCAAGCAATCAATACATCAAAAACCCATATCAGAAGATTCAAAATTTCAAAATTTAAGAATTGCCCAATAAAGATTCAGACGGAGAGAGAGAGACCTGTGGCTTTCTTGCCAATGGCGGAGAAGAGGGCAGGGCCTCTGGTCGACATATCTGCGGATGGAGAGGAGAGAGAAACTTTTGGGAGGTTTTTCTAGAGAGAGGGAGCGCGGAAGAGACAAGGGCTGCCTGGGGTTTATGTAAAACCCTTGGCTGCGGTTTTGGGGTCAGGCAAACATGTTTCGTGTGCGTGAGGAAAACGAAAGGAAAAAAAAAGGAAAAAAGCAGTCGGAAAAAATTGCTCTCGTTGAGAGTCGAACTCAAGACCTCCCGCTTACTAAACGGGTGCTCTAACCAACTGAGCTACGAGAGCAGTTGTCAAACTCCTGCATACCCGATATATCTTCAAAACATTTGAAGAGGAAAAAATATGTAAAAGGTTGTGCTCGCTGACAATCCAAAACCCAACCACACGATCTGCTTCCATTGAAGTTTAAACACAAAATTACGAGGAATTCAACTTGACTGCCAAGTCTTCAATTAGATGAGGTAAATTTTTTGCATAAGAGCTTCTAATTTTTCCTTTCTAGACACTAAAACCTAACAAATAATCTTTGATATGGCTTAGCAACTATATGTATGGAACGTGTAGCACTAGTTACCGGTTGATTCCGATAGTGGATCCACATATGGACAAGTGTAATCAAATATCCCCACTTCTTATATCGCATTTAGAGTTTATTTTTATGTTCTTGAACATGATTGTCACAAGAGTAAGATGTTTAACAAAATGTCTCAAATAAGTCGAAACAGATTAAAAAGCTATGAACAACAAGTCAAACTAGCGTACAGAGTTTCATTAACCATTGGATTGTCAATCCCTCCGGGGCCTGATGTGTAACCATAGTCCCATACTTTATGCCCCAGAGTCTTATCAAAGTATTCAGCTTTAGGTTCTGACTGGCCTAATTGGTTTGGAACCCCATAATAATGGTAAGAAAAAAATGCCCCCAAAACTTTCACACCAGGAAACAAGCTCTCAAACTCCTGCCTCCATAGCTAGCTAGGTTCTATCAAGATCTCCATAGTTTTCCATCTGATTCTTTGTTTGCTTGTGCGAGAAGCAACCCATTGAAGGGCAGCCCAGCCATGCATCTTCATCATAAGCACTGGGAAGTGGCTTCTCTTGGGCAAGTCTGCGCTCAACGGGGATAGCTACAACTTTGGCTTCTGAGACCAAGCGGTCGAGAGATAACAGTAAGAAACGAGAAGTCATTAGAAATCAAAATTACTGAACGTTTGTTGCATTATTATTGTTTCATTTTAGTCCGATTGTATACATAATTTATTAGGATGTGTTTGGTACGCAAAATATAATTCGTTGAAAAATAATGACCGAAGAATTTTCATGGGGAAAGGGAAATACATTTTACCATTGAATGGGGGTAAGGCTAGCCGACATTCACCTTTCCCAGACCCTGCGTAAAACAGGAGCCTTGTGCACTGGGTACGACCCATGTTTGGTGATGCTGACAGTGATCAGGGTCTTTCGATTTTTTAATTTTTTGTTTCCCCCACCGGCTATGGGCTGGCCTGACTCCTCACCTCTACAGATGCAAATACTGGATCAAACCATGTGCAGCCCATCAAATAAACAAATTAAATTCTCGTATTCATGTCCTACGTGGCACACAACCAGCATGCAAACGTAGGAAGACGCAAAACCTACCTTACTGTACAGGGGGAAATATTACGTATCGTTAAGTACTTGTTTGGTACTCAGGTGATTTTATAAAAAGTAGGTATAAAAAAAAATTAAACTGAAAAAGGTATTTAGTAAACACTTAAAAACAACTGATTTTCACAATTTTTGGTGAAAAAAATGCTAAAAACGAGAAGCAGTAAAAATGATTTTATTCTCACAGCACAATAGTAACATTTTTTTTTTCAAAGCACAACAATATCAAACTAACCCTAAAGTTTGGACTTTGGAGTCCCCATCAGTGAAAAAAGAGAGCTTTTGAGACTTTTGAGTTAATATTTTTTTTTTTATCACAAGTGTGAAACTAGAAAAGTTAGAACTGTGATGCAATATATTGAAGATGAGCGTATTAATCACAAAGACAATTTGCCATTTGCTTTGTTTAGTCCTGAAACACAAAGAGATTAAATAAAAAAACGCGGTACGTTAGAAAATGTATCATTGAGTAATTGCTTGGTCAACAACTGTTTATGCATCACAGTAATGATCGAACACAATAAACATGCCGATTACATTTTACTATATCACGCACTTTGGTACCATTATCTAAAAGCAATTGGCTTATTAAGAGAAATGCAAAGGGTACGATTTTAAAAGTTTTACTTTTCTGTTATTTTATTTTTTTAACACAATATATTATATTTGTAAGAGAATTAATGTAAATTGAAAAGTGTAAAAAATTTCATAAAATTATAATTTTAAAAAAAACCTTTTATCATTTCTCACCTAGCAAAGATTTACAATTGTTCATCGAGCGAATTACACAATATCTCAGTAAAATATTAAAAATTAAAACCTCGTAACACATTAAACTCACTCTCAAACTAGAAGGTGTTAAATGTTTCATGCTCTGAAGGATAATGCTAGAAAAACTAAATTCGTATATTAAATTTTAGAAACTAAAGGACATGAAAGTTGATAATTAATTTATTACTTAAATATTAATAAACATACTAATTCCTATTAATAACATATCATTTAATTTCTAAATTTATTTTCTAAATTTAATTTTTTTAACATTACTCTTTCTATTTTATTTCATGAAGAACAAGCTTCGAAAACTTTTATCGAGTAGCGAACCTTCCACGCACGCGGTAAAGGAGACCCTTCGTGCGTGCTCTCCTCGCCTCCAAGCCGGACTCACATTTCTCAATCAAGGCGCACGTGTCAGCGAAAACCCCAAGGCCTTCGTCCACGTGGTAGCATTCCCAGCCTTCTTTTATATCCCCTATATCTCCTCCTTCCTTTTCTGAAACCAGAGGCCCCAGCCACCAAATCCGAATCGGACCCCGAACGTTCACCGATTCGATTAGTTTTTCGGTGACGGGTTTATTCGTTGAGGGCTGAGAAATTTCGGAATTTCAGATATGGAGATGGAAAATCCAGCGAATTTCAGTTACATGGGGAGGAACTTCAGTGATCTGAGCAACGGGGATAACTCCTCTGCTTTCAGCGAGTGTAACAGCGATAGATCCGAAGAGTTCCCGACGACTTCGTCCCAGAGCCGGCGGCTTCTGATTGCCTGCGCTTCCGACAACTCCGACGATATGATTCAACAGCTCGTCGCCGTGCTCGAGGCCGGTTCGACTGAGGCGCAGAAGCAGGCGGCGATGGAAATCAGGCTCCTCGCTAAGAACAAGTCCGAAAATCGGCTCAAAATCGCCCGAAACGGCGCGATTAAGCCATTGATTTCGCTCCTATCGTCGTCTGATCTCCAGCTCCAGGAGTACGGCGTCACCGCGATTCTCAACCTCTCGCTGTGCGACGAGAATAAGGAGCTCATCGCTTCGTCGGGAGCAATCAAGCCGCTGGTTCGGTCGCTCAAGACGGGGACCGCCACAGCGAAAGAGAACGCCGCCTGCGCTCTGCTCCGCCTCTCGCAAATCGAAGAGAACAAAGCCGCAATCGGACGGTCGGGAGCGATTCCGCTTCTGGTGAACCTTCTGGAGTGTGGAGGCTTTCGTGGGAAGAAGGACGCGTCGACGGCTTTGTACTCGCTGTGCTCGGTCAAAGAGAACAAGATTAGAGCCGTCGAGTCGGGAATCATGAAGCCGCTGGTGGAATTGATGGCGGACTTCGGGTCGAACATGGTGGACAAGTCGGCGTACGTGCTGAGCGTCCTCGTGTCGGTGCCGGAGGCCCGCGCAGCATTGGTGGAGGAAGGTGGGATTCCGGTGCTGGTGGAGATTGTAGAGGTGGGGTCGCAGCGGCAGAAGGAGATATCGGTGGCGATATTGCTGAAGCTTTGCGAGAACAGTGGGGTCCACCGTAACATGGTCGTCCGCGAAGGAGCGATTCCTCCCCTCGTCGCTTTGTCTCAGTCCGGCACCAATCGCGCCAAGCAAAAGGTGAGTATTTTCCGGCACGTAAAAATAATCAACATTTGCTTTCTCTGTTTTTTTTTTCGGGTCCAATCGGTCCACTGGTCGACGACCCCGCGAGCCATCGCTGACGTGGGGTGGGCTTTTGAAAATATTCCCCAATTTAATGGGGCGTGGCCCACGTCAGTCGGGTGGCATATTCTTTTTCCGATTTATACTTATTCGGGGAAAAATTAATTCAAAATCCCAGTTCTCCCCCCATTTATGGTGCTAACGTATGCAATAAGACCATGGGTAGGATCGTCATTTAGGTCGTAGATTAGTCTCTCAGTCTCTCTCAGCCACTTAAATTATTTTGTCGTTTTTTATATAATTTTTTAAATAATTTGGTGCGTGATGGGGGAGTGGTTTTGTATTTTGATTGTCGTTTTGTGTGTCTTTATGGGGACAGGCGGAGACATTGACAGAGCTTCTACGGCAACCGAGGTCCGGCAACGTCGCTGCACCAGCGTCAGACGTGTCATTATAACACCCCTCCACGTCACTACCGTGGGCCCACCACCTAGCTACGCTCCCAGATATAGCAATGGCCATGTAATCAAACACTGAAAGAGTTAAAAAAAACCAGAAAAAAAAAAAGGAAGAAAAATCTAAAACTTGTAAATATCTGTGTTAGGAGAGGATTGTATAACTTGTGAGAAAGGTGTTGAATTGAGCTGAGTTTGGTTGGCCTCTTTAGAGCTTATATTTCTTTATATAAAAAAAAATTAAAAGAAATGTGTCTTAAAGACTATCACTAGTGGCTAGTGTGTTTATCAATAGATCATTTTGTGTGTTATTTTATTGGTTAATTACGAAAATGTGGGAGTTGAGGGGGAGATGAATAATTGGAAAGAAAAGTATGTTCTACTTCCCACTAAAAACGACCGCTCTCTCACAGACTTGCAGTGATATTTTTCTTTCACTTTTCAAATTTTTCTTTTTCAAATCCGCCAATTGTGAATTGGTAATTTGATACTAAATTACTATACAAAATGCCATTATGCGACTTAATTCAAACACTATGCAGTGTAGTTTAACGTACCCATGTTTTTTATTAAAACTAGTCTCTTGCGACACGCATACGCGTGTGGCAATTGATATTTTTATATTTT